TATCTGGCTCCCCAGTGGAAATAACTCCAGCTTTCGAGCCCATTGTTGTTACCCGAATTATTTACACATTATCTGGCAAAGGACGAGCTCAGTAGACCCTGCGGACACCTCGCAACACACAGACCAACACTTACGCAGGAGTCAGACGCTGTTGTTTTAATAGTTTAAGTAACCATAATATGTTGAGGACTTTTTAATAAACTTGAAACACGAGCGGGCGTGAGCCACAAGGACACCAGGGACCGGCAGGATGTGGACGAGGACCGGCTGCAGTCGGGCAACGATTTATGCAAACCAAAATGTTGCCAAAAATTACAGTTTAATGGAGTAGAGTCGAGCAGTGTGCGTGGTCCCGTCCCGGTCATAATGAGCAGCGAGGAACTTGCAACAAAGCCAAGTCCGCAGCAGACAAAAAGTCGGGGCCAAGTTGAATCCCGGGGCCAAGCGCAACTCCAAATGTAAGAGAAACAACTTCTCTAATTTTGCAGGAAATATGAAGCCATTAAAGTGCGGCAGACAAGGCGAAACATGGCAACATCTTGACTACTGCGGCACTCACATACTTAGAAGGGGCGCCAGCTAGAAAGGAGAGAAGTTGGCACACGGAAGCAGGAGCCGGAGGATGGACACAGCACTCCGGGGCCATGTGGCCCCTGCAGAAGTTGTCCTCGGGAGTGTGGAAATAAATTGCGAAAAAGTCGTAGAAGTGAAAATGGCAACTGGTTTGCATGCACCCTTCTTCCGCGCCGCAGATTACCACCATGGGTACGCGATCCGGAGTAAGCGGTAAACAGCTGTTGCACCTTTTTCCTATTTCTACAATTTATTTCCACAAAAAATACTATGAAATGGCACAAGCTCCCAGCGCCCGATATATGTACATATCTTTAATTGCCAACTTGGCCACTGGCTGCGAGAAAAATGAGCCCTGGCGAGTTCAGCGCGGTATCCTGGACCAGCTGGTGTCAAATGTCCGGTGTCGGGTGTCCGGAGCTAGTTGCACTTAATCACTGCCCGGTCCCGGCGACAAGCAGAGAGTCAAAGGGTTCCCAACAAATGTTATTGCAAGGACCTACATATACTGCTGTTGAAGGTGGAGTTAAAAATTAGTAAAATAATGTTAATTATTCTGAATAGGAGAGGGAGTCGAGGACTGGAAAGGCAATTTACACTGCTAGGTTTCACTTTTAGTAATTTGTTACTGCAACTCTAAAGACTAATTCTTTGGGACTCCGTACTACATTTTTTTTACGTTTTTCCTTTCTTCAGAATCGTCTTGGATTGCACCCCACATCTACTCTGACCTTTTATCGTTCTGCATCAGCACGCAAAAAAAAGGATATTGATATAAAAAATCTAGTAGCAATATTGTAATATAAATTCAAAGCGAACTAAAATTAATATATTTATTTCCTTAACTGCGGTTCACTGCCTCAGTCGATGGCGAGGTTTTAACTCACGAAATGAAGGGGAAGGGAAAGTTTTCGGACAGTTCTTCCACTTGAGAGTTTCGGAACCATAGGGTCTTGAGCGTGGTCAAAACGAAAGCTTTTGCAAGCATCTGGCATGAAAACCACCACTGAGAGACGGACTGACCGCGATGTCGATCCGCCGGAAATTAAGTTAATTTTAATTTACCTTGATTAATTGCATTGTCAGGTGGACATCCCGCCGCAGAGCTGGAAGAACTGTAGGCGCGAGGAAACCACATGCCAAGTGTTAACTGTCAGTCCAAGGCTTTTAAAACAATTTCAGGCAGATTGACCAGGTGCAATTTAATGGAGCGGAAAAGAAAGCGCTGGTTGCCCAGTGCGGAAGTGAGACAGTACAGTGGGTTTCGGAGCCATAATTACCAGCGCTTTCGATGAATATCAAAGTGCCTGCTCGAGTTTCGGCATCGTCTAATCGCAAAACGGCACCAATTGCTTTCAGCAGCTTGCATTTAAATTCCGTTCGCATATCAACAATAATGTCGAACATTAGGTGGTGCTTCTCCCTCTGTCCACTCGCTGCGCCTGTGTTGTGATGGCCCATGGGGACGTTCCATTTAATGGTCTTGGGTGTTCCAAATTCTAAAATTAAATGAAACGTAAAAAACAGCACGCTCTTAGGAAGATCCCTCAATTTGCATAACTAGCCAATGGGGCAACTGATAAACAGGTGTCCAACAGGATATAAAATCAAATTGGTTCTTTTTTATTTGTTTTGTTTTTCCCATGTTGGTTTTTTAGTGGCGGGTATATTCGCTTACCTTGTTGAATGGCTGTCACATTTTTTAAGCCATATCAGCATTCCGATAAATGTTCAAAAATTAAATTTCCTACTGCTTCCACCCTTATTAAATATTATGTATTACAGATAATTATTTCTTAACGATTTTGATTTCTTCGTCTATGACTTAATGATTACTATTCAGCAAGTTTTGGATCCCTTAAGGGGTTATATACCTTTTTTTTTTTCAAAAAAACGAAAAATTTTTTTTAGCTGAATCCTAAAGTATATCCCCTAGAGAACACTTTCCCAAATTTTTGAAGAGATCCGAATAATAGTTCGATAGGAAAACAGCGTTTTGAGGCGCGGTTCGTCACTCTTTGTAACGCAACGTAAAACTTTGAATGCGATTATCTCAAAGTCGTTTTTTTCCAAAAGTGCCTTTGCTGTGACCGCGATTGCACAAGAACTATTTGATCGATCTTCTTCAATTTTTTTTTTAAATATTCGTAATGATTGTGCCGAGTTCGTCATTGAATCAGTTTTTAAGCGCCAATTTCGATTTTGCAGATAAAAAATTTTTAATAAAATTTTTAGAGCTCGAAAAATCAATTTTTGAAAAAATTGTTACTGTATGCAGAAAAAACCAAATATTCTTAAAGTAATTCAATGACGAACTAGATATAATACTAAACTAATAAAAAAATTTTGGTTTATTGATTTTGGTTGACCCGCTGGACTTCCATCGTGGTCACCGCAAGCCGCTATAACAAAAAAAGGGTTATGAGAGAATTGCCATAACTTCGAAAGTTATTTATATTTTTTTAAGAACAAACGTTTGTTGTGTCTATAAAAACATGTACTATCAATAAATAATAACCTCAGTATCATAAAACAATTGCTACACACCTGAAAAAAAAATCCAAAGTTCCCTCATTTTTTTCGCTCAAAAAGGTATATAACCCCTTAAGCAAGAATCAGATTATTTTTAAAATCTGACATAGAATATATTTCATGTTCTGCTCGTTATAATTTGTATGACCCTTAGTCTGTGCATATCGTTTAGTTCAAAAATCTGTTAAATTTGAAGACACCAATTTTTAAAGTTTTTAGGAAAGTATGTAATATATTTCAAATCAAAAGTTTTTATTCGATGTGTTCCTTCCCGGTATATATTTCTCCAATATCTTAAAAAGATATGACCTCTTACTGAATTAACATTTTAATACGTTTCTGCATTTTAAACTAATTTGTGGGGTCTTGTTAGTTGGCGGCTCTTGATCCTAATAATAAATAAGCAACATTGCAAGGGCATCCATATATCACCTTCCAAAGTTATATAATCTGCACAGTTTTTAATGTTGTGCTCTAGACAAAGTAAACTTTTGCGTATAAGTAACCCGATGTGGGCTGTTTGCATGCGAAGCACACAAAATTACTGCTGTGCGTTCTAGAATATGGTTAAAATGAGAATAAAAAGTGATAATTAGGTCTGTTTTTTTTCGGTTTTTTTTTTCAAATGAGTCGCATAGTGCCATTACGCACATAGTCCAGGCCACCACTATGCGTAAAGAGGTTGTGAAGTAATGGCCAATTGCTTTTTTCTTTATGTGCGCAATTTAAAGCGTTAATTAATAATACAAGAACTTTGGGTAATGGTGAAGGAAAATGTTAATCAAGCCTCTGTGCTGTGCAGTCTCTGTATGAACAAGTATGACATGCAGCACATTTATGTAAAAAATTCGAATCAATTCGCGATTACTGTGCAGCTGTCGTAGGCACCTTTGATGTGTCAAGCATCAGAAGTCGTTCGAAAAAATTTAAAGAAGAAACCTAAAAGAAGTTTATAGAAAAGAGCACGACTATCAGACACCGGCAACTCATTGCATACAAAATATATTGTCTTTTCAAAACCACTTTTGTTTTACTTCAACCGAATAAGGAATCCCTCACAAATGCCGTTTTCTTATTTTAGTTCAGTTAAAAAGATATTGAATCTTCCTTGCGAAAGATTGACCTCTACAAATTATCCATTTTTGTATACACCAAAATCATATATGTATTTTTAAAGGCTAGCAAACACCTCTTTTAAGATTTTCGCACATATGTATTCGTATACCCTTTTACTCCCTTGGAAATTAATCAAAAAGAGCGTTGGGCCCTCCGAACTGCACTGCGTATGATTGATGAATCTGCAGTAATTGACATTTGAGAGGCACCTTCTGGCGCCCCAGAACTTTTGCTGTCGTCAGCGAGGAGGTGAATCACTGTCGGGATCCTTATGCCTCGGATTGAATATGCACCGCATGCCTCAAGCTGTCTATTTTAATTCTCTAGGCGGCGCACTTCTATCTCGGCGATAAGGCACACACGCACCCATAAACCTCGATTCCGTCCGCCTTTCGTGTCTTCTGAATGACCTTAAAATTAAATTGCCAATTGCGATTTTATGGCCCACATGTGTCCCCGGCGGCGTGGATACCCCAGCCGATCCAGGTGCGATCCCTTGGCGCAGTTCCACCCCGAACGGGTCCACAGATCAGCGGGCAGTTCGGTGGAGCGGAGCGGTCGTCGTCATCCAGCGACCGGAGTTGTCAGGCGGACGGTTCGCACGTTCCCACGAAGAACCCCGCTGCATACTAAGCAGCGCTCGTCCGCGGTCTATGGGTATATCCGATTTTTTTCGACCGCCTCTCATTATGCTCGTTGCGCTGGCCTTTTTGCCCGTCGCGCCGCGTATATAAATCTAACGCGCTGCCCTGACCAGACATCACTTCTTTGGTGGAAACTTCAGTGACAAGTTTAGCTCCTGCCGTGATCAGTGCGCGTATTCCCGAACCGAACCGAACCAAATCGAACCGAGTCCCGCCCTCGCAGATCCAACAAGTAGTCGTCCCGCAACCGCAACGCAGTTCAGTCCGAGATGAAGTTCAGTGCTGCCCTGGCCCTGCTGCTGGTCGCCGGCCTCGTGGCCCGCAGCGACGCCCTGCCCGCCCGGAAAAGTGAGTCCGCCGCCCAGAGGATTACCCATTCACTCATTCACCCATTACCGAATCGCCCCTAACCACACCATCCCCCCGCCACCCTCCTACTGAAGACCGGCAATACCTCGTTCCAGGAATGGTCTACCTCCAGCAGCCCGCAGCCGCCGAGTGGTACGGCTCCGCCCCCCAGCAGCGCTTCATGTACATGCAGTACGTGCAGCCCGGCCGCACCCACGCCCGCTCCACCCAGGCGGCCAGCGCCCTCGTGGCCGGCGAGACCGTCGCCACAGGCACCTACCTGAAGGGTAAGCAGCCGCGTCAGCACTAACCCCGCCCGCCAGCACTAACCCTTCCAACCCTTCCTAACCAAGATTGCAATCACGCAGAGTCCGAGCTCGGAGCCGAGGAGGTCCGCGGCGAGGATGTCCTGGCGGCCGCCGGAGCCCACGGCGTGAGCTCTGTGGCCGAGGCCTACCCCGACCAGGTCCCCGTCGTCCAGGTGGCCATCGACGCCGACGTGGTGCCAGCCCCCCAGCCCGAGTCGGAGGCCGAGCCCGAGCCCGTGCCCGAGAACGAGCCCGCTGACGACGCCGCCAAGGTGCCAAGGGACTTCAACTTCCCCGCCGAGGAAGCCGCCGTCCCCGCCGCCGAGGAGTCGGTTCCCCCTGCCCGTCGCCGCTGCCGAGCTTCCCGCTCCCGCTCCCATTGCTCCAGTCGCCGCTGTGGTGCCCGCCAACCGCTATTTGCCCGCCAAGAAGAAGGTGATCGTCGAGCTGGACCAGTCCCCCGAGGAGGATGAGGAGCCCCAGGCCGCCGCCATCGAGGACGATGAGGAGCTGGAGAACGCCGTGGCCGATGACGTGGAGGAGGAGGAGGAGGTGCTCTTGGCGCCCGCAAAGCCTGTCAACCCAGTTCGCGTGCCGAACGCCCGGCGTCCCGTTGCCAAGAAGCCAGCAAAGGCCGCTGCCCCCGCCGGTGGCAAGCCCGCCAAGAAGCCGGCCGCCCCCCTGCCCGCCGGGACCTTCTTCCCCATCGACTTCGGAGGCACCAACGGCGGCGCCATCGCCATCGCCAACTCGTTCAGCACCGGAGAGGGCGGATCAGCCACCAGCCACGCCATCGCCTACGGCTCCCCCGAATCTGCTGCCCGCCGCGTCCGTCCGAACCCCAGCAAGTTCCGCCACTAATCCCCGGACTGACGGTCAACCGCATCTTGCTAGCGCCCCGCACCCGCGCGGGCTCCCAATCAACCCAGTTTAAAGAGATTCTCCTGTAATTATTAGCAAAATTGTCCATCCTTGAGCGCACTAAAATAAAGTTTTCTGTTTTTAAATTTCATGCTTGACGAGCATTTTTTTGTATGTACACGACCCGTGGGTCGGTTTAAGCGAATCTCACTTAAAAAGACAAAGTCGGGTTGATATTGAAGGGAGTATTTTAGTAGAAACGACCATAAAATCATATAGCTGCCATGGGAACTAATATAAAATGTATTTTGTATATGTATTATGCAAAAAAAATCTAATGTTTTGAGCATTAGTTTTGATTCGCACATCTCTCTTTTAGTCACACTAGCCGAGAAACTCTGTGTGGTCCCAGTTTTGATGGTACAGCGATTTGGATTTATGATTCAAATTATTTCAATAAATACCTAGAAGTTATTTAGATACAATTTATTTTATTTGTCCTGTGTTTTGCCGACATTTGTATTTTTCTTCAATTCTGAAGATGGATTTTCATTAAGCGGTGCAGTCTGGTCAAACTTAGATCTTCCCAAGTATTCACAAATTGTTTAATGTCAATTGTTAATTTGTAGTATAGAGTCACCCTTTTTGTAACAGGTCATTAAATACATCTTCTAGTTTAATAATAACTTCTTCATTTTAATTAAAATGCATTCGTTATTAAAATCAATTTAAGTTTAAACAAAAGACACATTTTTTAAAATCATGTTTAAGCCCATTAGCTCGGGAATGTTTTCTATGCATATCTATTTTATTCATGGTATACTTTAACTTAATTTCATGATAAACGAGAAACAAATAATAATTAGCCTATCGGAATACAAATTTCGACTCAGCAATGGAGGTAAATAAAATAGGACAATCCAATTCAGATAACATCGTGCGAACATGTTTTGCACAAAACTGGTTACATCCCCTTTAAAACAGTATTTTTTTTGTATATTTAAAAGACACTACGCGTATATTACAGCTGGATACACTGCAAGGATTTTGTTACTGTTTCTTTTGTTTGCTTTTCCTTGAACAACGATACGATCAAATGCTAGGCTAAACGGCTATCTGCTTGAAATCCATTACAGTTTTCTGCCAAATCGCGAGAAGTTTTTGATTGTGTGACTAATATGAAAAATCGTTAAAACTAAACTCTCCTCCGCCACCACTGCTGCTGCTCCTTCTACTCCGCGGGTCACTATGTGTGTTTCGATGGTGTCAGTAGCCGTACTTGTCCTGCCACGAGGTCATCACATCATTGGCTAAATTGCTAAGCCTGCCCGCAACTTTGTGGACGCCCTGACGTACGCTCTCCTTCACGCTCTCCACATCCAGGTCCGGTGCACTGAAGTTGACAGACGATGAGTAGCCACCTGAAGCAAGAAACCGAACCTTTCAATCTCTACCCCAGCAGACAAAGGACTTAGCACTCACCCCTGTTGCCTGCATTGCCGCCAGGAGTGCCGTCACCGAAGTAGTCCGATGAAGATATGGCTCGCGATCCCTGGAAGCGGTTCAAGTTCGCGCTGATGTCAGCCGAAGACTGCTCGCTGGCAAAGTACTGGTCAGAGCCGAAACCCTTTGAGTTTCCGAACTTTTGCTGGGCGATCACGGGATCATTGCTAGCACCTCCTTTACTGTGACCGGAGGAGGACGATGCAGCCAACCCACTACTCTTCTTTACCGGCGCCGATGTTTTGGGCTTGTCATAATCATTGCTGCCGGAAAACATGGACGTGATGTTGCTGTGCGAGCCCCCAATGGGCTCTATTGTCTCGTAGCCCAGCGCGTCCAACTCAAACTTATCCAGCTTGCTTGAACCACCAGCCGAGCTCTCTCGTTTTTCGCTGGAGCTAGCACCACCGCCGCCACTGGTGTTGCCGTACAGGGAGTAGTCGGAAAAGAAGTTGTCGCTCTCCAAGGAGGAAAGCTTGGACTTCGGAGCTGCTGATTGCTGAATTGTCTCCATATCGCCAAGGGCAGAGTGGGCCATGTCGGATCCTCGCAGGCTGAAGCCCATACCCAGGCGCTCCATCTGCTTAGCCTTGGCTGGGTCCATAGTTTTGAGCTTAGCCTCCTCGCGGGTCTTCTGCAAGGAGAGCTCCTGGTACGCCAGTCGCATGCTGGCCACCGTCTCCAGTTCTTCTTCTGCCGTTTGTGGCTTATCGAGAGGTGTGGTAGCGACGCTTGTCTTCATCTCATTGGCCGCGTTGGCGCGGGCCTCGATGTCTGCAAAGTTAGTCTTCACCTTTGTGGCTCCCAGGCCGCCCACCTTGCGGGCACCAAGCTAAAAGAGATGCGATCGGTTAGACTGTGTTTGATAACGCTGGTCGGTACACCTACTCCGCCCTTCTTTGGCTGCACCTTGCGCGCACCTATGGAGGAGGGCACTGCTGCTGGCACCACTGAGTTAAGCAGATCTACGCTGGGAGCGCCACCCAGTTGCGTCTCTAGGCTATTGACAGGAACAGTGCCTGCTGGCTTTAGATCCGGCTGAAAGTATGTCAAGCATCAGCAAAGGTCAAGAAACTCAATGCATCCAAGAACTCAAAAAGCGCGTGCGTGACTGCTGTGTGAGTGTCGCCGTACCTTGCTGACATTGTTGTTCTCCACATTAAAGTCCGTCTCGTTGTCGCATTGGGCGAAGAAGTCCTCTTCCTTGGCGGCCTCGTTGCCCTCGCTCCTGTCCGTCTGCTCCAAGTGCAGCTGTTTGGGTGTGGCGCACGGGTTTTAGGTGTTTTTTTTTGGATCAGGAGTGGGGGACAGGCAGGGCAGTGAAGCAAAGCAAATGTCAGTAAGGTGGGTTAGTGTAACATAACTACAGGCATCAAAAAACGGAACTGGTGCTCATGACCTACCTTCGTGCCGTGCACTTTCATGGCCTGCTGGGCTTGGGCGCTCAGCTTGTCGCGGTAGAGCTGGGCTGCCCGCGAGTTGTACTTGACCTGGGCGTCGGTGCTGCTGCAGTTGTGGGCCCGGAAAAACTGGGCGGCGTTCGCGTTGCCGCCCAGCTGCATCTGGCGCAGCTGTAGCCAGGTCCAATTGGTGTCCAGGTTGGTGCTACGCACAAAAGTCAGGTGCACGCCCAGGTTGCGGTGCACGGCAGAGCAGTCGATGCAAATAAAGATTCCATAGGTGACGGAGGACCAGGTGGGAGCTTTGGCCGCGCAGTCGAAGCAGGACTGTGGAGGAGGGGCGCCATATTAGTAGGAGCCTCAAGGGCGAACTCGCGAAAGTAGGCCACTTACCTTGTTGGCTGGCTGAGCGCGCAACCGACTGAAGACAGATTCGATCTCCTGCTTGGAGGGTCCTGCCGCTGGATTGGCCATTTCAAAGGGCACAGAGTAGAATTTTTAACCTAAAACCCTGAAAATTGTCGACGTTGCTGGGCGCTACACTGCTCGGCGCTCTTTTAACTTTGTTTCGACTTGGACTGGCCTTGGGAAGCCCTAGCTACCAAACACAAACCTTTTTTGATTCCTCGTCTTTCAGAACGTACGTGGACGTGTTTTTTAGAGCTGTGAGTGCAGGCAAATTTAGCTACAATTTAGCTACATATATTGTCTTCTCGGTTTTCGTGGAGGCGCTTTCAGGGTTAATCTAGCGAAGACATCCTCTACTGTAGCAAGTGCACCAACCACCGTTCGGCGACCGACTCCATGGACTATCGAATTAAAAAAGCGGGAGACTTAAACGTTGCACACTTTCCTTATAAAAGATGCGGATAGCTGGAGAAACTGGACGGATTTTGAAATATGTTGTCAATGCAAATGTATGAACAATTCTGAATGCAAATTCGGTTTAATCGACTCTTTTATTTACAAAACTAGAAAGAACCGATTTATTGAGAATGGATTTTTTACCACCTCTAGCGTTTTTCTTTCGCAGAAATGAACTTGTAACTATTACGCGCACCAGTGCTGGAAACTTCAAGAGCCATGAGTTTTGATAGAGGTGCCAAACTGGCGAATTTGATGTCACTTTTGGCCGCTAAGAACTATTCTCTTAAAATGTGCAAGCTGAATCTGTTAAAAAAGTTTTTTAATTTTATCGTAGATTCACGCGGAATTCGGCTTATAATAAAAACAAAAAATGATTTTATTTATCTTTAACACAATAACTTTGTTGAAACTGTATATTTTCTTTGCCGAAAAGTAAAAATGTTAAGGTTTGGTGGTTAAATAACATTTATGTGAAACTAGCAGAGCGAGATTAAAAGGTCTAACGATCTAAAAAATAATTTTTTCCAATGTTTCAATTACTTTGCAAATTTAAGCAATATTAATGTTTTAATATATATAATATTAACGCTTTTGAAATCAAAAAGAACACCCCCAATATATTCAATTTATAAGATACATGTGTGCAATCGAGGTTCTGCGGCTATCGAATAATTAAATAAAATAACGCCAATGCTTAACAAAAGTTAATTTAAACCAACTAAAATATATACGTAACTAGAATTGGAAAATCCCTCTTAGCGTTGGAATTCTGGGAATCAAAATACAAAGAGCGCTTACTAGGTGAGTACATAAAAAGATATCAGGCTGTTGTATTCAAGTCGCAGTTTTACAAACATAGTAAAGCCCCACGGCAAGAGCAGTCACATGGACCCCTACCAGGATGACCACCTTCAAGCCGCAGAAACAAGTACGCGACATGCACACCTTCCCAACATATTCATCAAAAGCGAGCCCTTTCTCGAAGATCTGAGGGAGGTCTTGGACGAGCTGGGAGAAATATTGGATGAGGAATACGCCGAGAAGGATCGGGAAGAGAATCAGACTACGTCGAAAGCGGATGAAAAGCTGGATGAGTCGAAGCTAGATGTGAACCCAGACGAGTTTGATCTAGATGATAAACTTAGAGCCACGCCACCGCCGCCCTTTGTCTTACTAGCAGACGACTCCCTGTTGTTCACCAGAAGATTAAAGACGTACTGCGATACATCCCCACTAAGCTTCAATGAATCCCCACAAGAATCGGGAGAAATTTCTTCCAGTGAGGCCGAATTCATTGAGGAAACCGTATACCGGCACGAGGAACCCTTTCGAAGTAAAAATTCCCCTTTAAGAGAATGCCTGGAGCATCACAAAAACATAATTAAAGAGAATCCCGAACGCTGCTGGACCAGCAAGAAAGGAGCCTCCAGGGAATCTAGCTTAACTAAATCAAAAGGATTTAAACCAGATCGTACAAATCGCCGCAGCAAATCCAAAGAGTGCAGTCGCGTCCGAAGAACAAGTTTCTCGGTGTATGGACCAACGATTAGTCGTAGTTCAAGCCCGAAGTTTAGAACCGGGAGAACAAGCTCATCCAGAAACTCTATGAAGAAAAGCACTTCCAGCCCGCAAAGGCACCAAAGTCAATCTGGAAACCACAAAAGGAGGAGGAACTCAAAAGATGACCGGATTAAGCGCCGCCGTAGCCCGTCGCCCAGGCGGAGTTGCAGATCCAGATCTCGAAGTTGGAGACGCAGGAGTCGTTCCCGAACCGCAATAAACTCTTGTTCAGACAGAAGATCAAAAGAAGAAAATGGTTCAAGGCGCAGGCGTAGCAGTCCTTTCCGATGTCGGCTTAGATCTCCTTGCTCTCGACGGAATTACCTTCGACGATTGTCACCAGAACGCAAGCATCGAAACCGGTCGAGGAGCAGATCCAGGAACCCAGGGCGTCATCGATTAGAAAGCAAAGTGCGACTGCGGGAGCGTTCAAGGAGCAGATCCAAACCAATAAGAAATCCCTTTCTGAAGCGTTCTAGAAGCAGATCCAAATCGCCCAAAGCCGTGCTGCGAGGCTGTTCGAGAAGTATATCAAAGCCCCGATCGGAAAGTAAAGATAGGCTAACCAAGGTACGCCAGCGATCCAGAAGACTGTCTAACAGATCAGGGAGCCGGGTTCGAGAGAATTCCATCAGTGGCTCCCAGCCTGCAAAAAGCCAGTCCGCAATGCCACTCTTAAGCGAGCGATTCGGGAAGTGCCAAGGAAGTCAGTCTGTGAAAAACTCGACCGTAAAGTCTCTGGAAGACAAGTCTAAGACTCCCATCCCAAGTGCCCTTCCAGCTGAGGCGATGGTTGCTCAGGTCCGCATTCAGCAGTCGCCGAGCAGAACCTCCAATATTTCGCCAATAAGGACGCGTCCCATCTCCCCGTTGGTTACGCTCCACGACAACAGAATAAGCCGACCACAGGAGTTGCGTGAGTGGTTTCTGCCCACGCCAAATGCCCCCCAAATGCTCTGTACCCAGATGCACTTCGAACAAGTAAACTACACGCAGCACTACAACTTTCCGCATGTACCGTGCGTCCCACAGCTCAATCCCTTCGATCTGCGCCGCCGTTTGGCCACGAAAAGATCCGTCATTTACCTGGGCCCCAACGATTTGCGTCACCGAATCCAGGAAGTGTTTCAACCGGAAATCTACGCGCCCCCAATCGAATTCAGTGCCTACGCTGAGTGGTCCTCTGGTTTTCCGGGGCAGTACCAACACAGCGGTTATTACTAAGGAGTTCACCAAAAATCATTTCAGTTTATGTTTTAAAGTCTGTCTATTAAATACATTTAAAGGTACAACTTGAAATTTAATTCAGAGGTCGTTTTGTCTGCATTCGCGGAGAAGACGGGGTTGGGTCTTGGCTCGGTTGAACCGAAAGAATAGAACGCGTGAAGTTGCGCCCATAACACTTCATCCACGGGTGGGCATCTTTCACTATGTCGGGCGCTGGAAACGAACTTTCGTCGGGATCTTCTTCTGATCTGGAGCGTAAGAATGCCAGGCGAGCGCTGTTGATATTGAAATCACTGTCCACCGGTGACCGGACCCTTATTCTTTTCGGGCGTACCCAGATCCATAATGCGGCGATCAATTACCACCGAGTCCGGTTGTTCACTTTTCACCCCGTTCTGGGAGGTGGTGGACATACTCCGGAGATTTTAAAACGATTGATTAACGTCAATGTCATTGGCGTCGCGATTAAGGGGTTAAAAAAAACTAAACCTTTTTTTTTCTTCAAACCCACAACTATGTATTATACATATGTATATGTTTGTAACTACTAGGAATCAAAGCGTCATATGTATGTATGTATATATCTCTTAAGCTCTACATATACATACATACATATTTCTACAATTGTGGTGATAAGCTCAGTGCAATAGGGTTGTGATGATATGTAAAAAATATCGTATGGGGCCGTCCATAAACCTCGTGACGCTCCAAGGGGGGGTGGGGGGGTTCATCAGAGAGTCACGCTTTGTTGTAAGGAGGTTGTAATTTGTATATAGGTTGCGTCACATAGGGGGGAGGGGGTCAAAAAAGCCAAAAATTAGAGTCACGAGGTTTATGGACGGCCGCTATCAGTGATATACATATGTATCGTTTTTCAAAAATCTATCAAATTGATAAAAATATTTATCACCCAAAAATATAGCAAATCAAATCATTTACACGGAATTCGTTTACAAACACAAAATTTCGCGGAAATACACACAAATCCACAGAAAAATAAATTTTTAACGTGCTCATCTCCTTGGCTTTCGGGGAATCACATCTGAGTGACCAGTTCGGAAATATCAAAAATATATAAAAAAAAATAGGCGATATTTGGTATATTTGATATCAGGTGAAAAAATATCAATAATACCAAGGTACTCCATTTCGACCAGAAAGCACTTGTCCTCCATCTGCCGGTGGCTCCTGGACTTGATAAGGAGCTTCAGGAACTACTTTTTAAAGAAGACTTTGTTACACTGAAGGCAACGATGCTTCCCACATTGGTGTCTATGTACAAATACTCTTTTACAGTGGAGGCACTGCTGCAACTTCCTCTGGGAGAGTGGCTTCAACTTCGACTAGTTATTTATCTTGTTAGCCAAATCTCCATATTCTTCATCCGCGTTGTCGCAGCTATGCGAAAGGCAGCCAGGTGCTGGAACTCATGTTCGCGGACGGAGCAGAACTCTCTTGGCAGATGAGGCTGGCTGATTCCGCCGGCCACTACGGGCCAAGAGTGCAGAATTAAGGGGCCCACAGCGGCTACGGTGCATCTCGGGATCGTCCCGTCCTTGTTTTTCATGGTCAGAGGAACTTTCCGCCTCTTCTCAAAAATAAAAATGGCGCGCGGTTTCCTAACATTGGATAACTTAAAACAAGGCCTAAATCTCCAAATGCAGTTATGTATTTACCTTGGCGGGCAGCGGCGGATTTAGAATTTCAATCTCGGGGGGTTTTCGATTGAAAAAAAACTTTTCAGTGTGTGGAATATATTTGTTAATCTCGGGAATTAACTAAATTAAATTATATTCCTAATTATTGTAAAATTGTTCTATTATAAACGAATATTTTTAATTAAATTTTACCGCTCTGCGTATGCAGACCTGCAGATGTCGACCTAGTTAGGCTCGGTTTTTTTTGGGGGGTTTGAACCCCAACACCAACATATTTTTTCAAAGGTACAAAGTATTGTTCCTACAGCAGTTCTTGTTTATAAATATTTATCTTTCAACATTTTTATTTTCTTAGTTATATTTGCATTATTTGTACATATTTACTAATTTTCTTTTTTTTTCTAGAAAATAGAATTTTCCGTACCGTATTTATATTATTATTATTTTTGTACTTTAAAATCATGAATATATTGTCTTGAAATGTATTCCCTTCCTTTTCTTTTTTCCTTTTTGTTCCATAAATCTAAGTTTCCAATAAAGAGAGAGTCAAAGATTATGTTTTAGTATTTATCTGTTATTACAATCTAAAGACTCAATACTTTTGAGTACCCTTCCAGTGTTAGGCAATGGAGAAGGTCATTGTACTCGATTTGGTATCGTCTCTTTCTCGCAGACATTTTTTACAGTAAGCGAAAATTTGAAGCGTCAGCATATTGGTAACTTGGTTGCAAAGCTCCCTGCGATAGTTCTATCAAATCATTTGAAGTGAAAACCAGTTTTGAGCGCGATAAGAAAAACATTCCCTGTCAGCCATTTCTATTTTGGCCATAAACTCGAAATTCGGCCCGTTCATTGGTTCCTGACTACCTGTCTCTATCTCGCTCTCACGTGCACACGTGCTCACCGTTTGCTGTATTAACCCCGTCGACAGCCCGCCCCTTTAACTTACTACACCGCGCTGAGATAAGGATGGCCCCCAAGAAGCATAGTGGGTTCATGATGTTTGTGAACGAGTGGCGAAACCAATCTGCCGAGGGTCGCCGAATGACGATAGCACAGGCTGTCTCACACTGCGGCTCCATTTGGGAGGTAGGTTCCGCCTGTTTCCACTATAGAAACTTATTAAACTAACCCCTGCCCCAAAGAAAATGACACTCCAGCAGCGGGGACCATACAACTCCGGCGCCAAAGACGCCGACGTGCTGGAACGTGCCAAGCGGGATAGGCTCAACTGCTATGGCCAGGGATTGGCCCAAGTGGATCAGGCCCAAAAGGAGGCCGCTGAAAGCTTGGTACACATGAAACGCACTACTGAGCGCATCGTAATGGACGCTAAGAAGTCACATGGTAAGTTTCGCAATCCGGAAGACTACTGCCAACTACTTCCCAACTTGTTTTTTCTCAGACCTGGAGAACACTAAGTTTATCTTCGCCGCATTCAATTATTTCACCAAGGCTTTAAGCTCCGACGTATATGTGCCCGCCGAATTCGCTGCCTGCGTCTACTCGCTAAAAGAAGGAATCAGCTCGATTTACAGCTCGCTCATAGACCCCGGCCAGATCATCTTCGGCCAGGGCAGCGATGCCCAGCACCACTCGTCAACCACTCACAACTTGCCCTTGCCGCCGAATGCGCTGGGGGAGAAGAACTTGGCCGAGCTGTACAGAAACATTGTCGATTACTTGACCAAGTACCAGGATGACAAGCAGCTCATCGTCTTTACACCCTCAGAAAATATAGCCATGGTCAAATCTTGCTTTCGGTACTTGGCCTGTGAGGATGAGGAAGGCTCGAGAGATGGAGTACAGAAGATTCAGGTGTTCGACATCCAGTACCTATTATTCGTATTAAAGAAGGAAGTCTTGGATATCGCTGGTTTGCCTGATGATAATATCAACAAATTTGTGACTGATGCCTTTTTTAAAAGAGATTTCTTTGAATTTACGCCTGAAATCTCATGTCAGGTAAGAATTAGCCACGAATGTCACGGTCCCAACAGTTATCCACTGACTTGATTGCTGTTTTCAGTACCACGAGGAGAACGACCGCACTAAGTACTGCACCCAGAGTATGGTGACTAGATGGGCGTACACCTTCAGCGATTTTATGTGCGGCGACCTGGCCATTACCGTCCAACCAGGAAAGCACATTCCTCCCAAAACAAAACAAAACTACCGAATCGTTCAATCGGATGGCTCTTCAATCGCCCAGGAGTCATCATTTGACTCGTTTTACTCAGTCCCAGGATCACGGGTCAAGAAAGAGGACATATCACGGGACACCTCGCCCACTACCAGCCGGCACTCGGCCTCATCAAGCTCCTACATTCCTACCGACCACACCTCCTTTACCGCCGATTTGAACGAAGCAGCTGAATTTCCCAGCCTTGGTCAGCGTAATCGGAGCCGCAAACCAGCAGCAAGTGGGAACTCACGACCTCTCCAGAAATTAACTGACAACGACTTCAGGCTCTAAAACCTATTTCAATGTTTTGAAAATGATTATGATTTAAATACATATATGCTTAGTTAAACAAGCCTTTAATAATAAGTCCTGTGGGTCACATTTGGTAAAAGTGTTTATTATGACAAATGTTTTGATCTTTCAGTAAAACTTCGTGTTTGATTTGATTAATATTAAATATTTGAAAAAAAAATTCATTTTTTTGGGTATGTTTTTTATGAATTCCTGTTCTGTGAATTGGTCCGTTCTAGCTGTTCGCGTGATAGGGTGGTTTTTTTTTTTATACAATACGGGGGTAAAGGCCGCACAGAAGAGTCTTGTGCTTATGTACATTCTTCGGCATATTATATATCTTCCCGTTTAATACTTACAAAATTTTCAACAATTATAATTGAAAAAATATAAAATAAAATATAAAAAATTTCGAATTGAAGTCGTTTGGATAAATAAAAGTTAAATCAAAAGTTTTTTAGTACATATTTATTTACTAGAGGTCAACAAACAAGCAATTTCTTTTAACCTTATTGCTTCCAATACCACGAAACTTTCGGTTTTCTTTATGTTTAATGAACGGACAGTCATGTCTAGATTGATCAAGAATATATGTATTGACTTTACGGTGTCGGGTATAAATATATTTTTAAGGAGTTGGCAAACCTTTTTTAAAGTAACGCAGAAGAGTTCTTCAAGCTTTGAAAAAAAGTTAAGGATCAGCAAACCATTTTTAAAGTAAAAACAGTATTTTTCTGGGTGATACAGAAATGTTCAAAAATGCAAAATGTTTAGTCTTATTTACATAAGTTGTTGAAATTACCGGAAAATTAATTTTTTTTAACTCACTAAATTAGCTTAGATATTAACTTCGCTCGAAAGGGAACTCTTTGCGTTGCGGGACACTAAAGCAATGCTCTGTGGATCCTGTACAAGCACGAGACGAGTAAAGGCTAAGCCAAGGAGAAAGGCCTGTCCCAAAAGTTCTCGCTGGTAGCGCTCCTGCTGCGAGAATATTAGACGTTGTTCAGCGGGAAACTGCACGTGGTGACGCAGGCTTACAGAGGCTGAGGTACTGGGAGGCGGATGCTCTGCATTGAAATGACGGTTCTGCATCATTGCCAAAACTGTATCCTCGGACGACACGCGCTCTGTGCCGACTAGATGATTAAAGAGACGGGCTGAGAGGAATCGGCGCAAATAATATAGGTTGTTGGCTTTATTTTCTTCGGAATCCGCCCTTGCCATCAATGAGTAGCTTACGATGGCCGTCACCTGGGCCTTTTGGATATTCACATTTTGTTGATCGATGCTGCCCGGGTTGCTACTGGCTTGCGCCACCTGTGGACTCTCTAGGACGTAGCAGTCGGCCTGTGGTATCTGGTGGGAAACATACAGGCAGCGCCGGCAAAGCTCTGATAAGTGCAACTTCTTGTCGTTAAGCTCATGGTGATGCCAGTCTGTCAGCATGCAAGGTGCATCGTTTCTCCCGATCTCCAAGCGTGCCCAGCTTACACTGGTTACCCCGATGCGCACACCCACCGTGGATACAATCCGTTGCCGCTGCCCCTCGTCCATGGCTGGTGTAATGAACGGTGCCACTCGCACTGCCCTTGTCTTTTTTTCAACATCTTCTCTGCTCCCACTTTCAGCCGGTTCGAGCAGACTTTTAAAAAACTTGTTGGCCACTTTCAGGCCAAACCCTTCCACGTAAAGAATGTCACTTAGCTCCTGCAGAGGACCATGGCGGGACTTCCAGTTGTACAGCTTGGTGGCCCTGGCCTTAGTTATTTCGTATCTGAATCCAAAGATAGGTTGAGCTGGTACCTTTAGTGTTGTATCCTGCCTACTTACCTCGACATCTGATCCACGTCGTTTCCGTTGATTGACTCCAGGATCTTCAGGCGCTCAGCTTCCGAGTAGGTGGACAAAAGACTATTGGCCTGCTCATCTTTCATCTGACCAGCTCTGTGCTGCTGCGAGGATGAAAACCGAAGGCGTAATGGTTTCAGACTCATTAACGCCCGTTTGGACAGCATCTTCCTGTTAATATTAGAAGGCTTTGTTGTTACTTAATTTTATTTTGATCAATCAGCTGTATGATCAGTGTGGCCAAGCACTAGGAGTGTTTTCAGCTGGAGCTAAAATCGTTTTATTGATGTTTTCAGTTACGCACACTAAATAGTAATAAATTATTTTAGATTTGTTCTTAAGATTTTTCCAAATAAAAGTATTTATACATACATTTATACATAATAAAAATAATAAAAAATAATAATAATAAATATTTTTATATATTTTCATTTGGTATAAAATAACTTAAAAAAAAGAGTCCTGAGCTAGCTTCTAAATTGCCAAAGTGGCAGCAGCGTTTATTTTTTATATGTGTGAAGACTCCAAAATAGAAGTAGGAAACCCCAGTTGGAAACATTTATTTCCCGGCTAAAAGCCAGTGAAATTAGCTAAATCTGGCTGGTAAGAAGCCCAAAGTGCAACTCTGACGCGACTCTCGGAGCGCTCTCTTTCTCCCCCTCTGAGTATTATAAACTCGAAGTTCCAATTGGAACGTCGACTGGCCGACGTGCGTCGTTCGTTGAGCGCATATAAACAATAAAAAGCGTAATTTTAATTGAATTAAGACAATAACAACAACGGTCTCTGGGACTCGGTTGCCTTGCCATATGTGACAGCAAACCCATACATGCGCCCGTAAACTTAAAAACATCTGTTCCAGCGCGGATGCGGGTGCACAAAAGTGAAATTTTCCAGTAAAAAGTGAAAGAGAAAACGAGAGATTGCCAAAGTGCTAACTGTAAATCCTGGCCATGTCATCAATTGACTTCGAGAGCATCAACAACAACAATACATACGGATATGCGAGCAACAATAACATCATCATGCAAAAGCCAGCACCCGCCTCCTCTGCGACCGCCCCCGCCACTGCCCAGCTGATCCAGGTCAGCTGTTCCAACGAAAAGGAATTGGATCCCCTGGCCAGCAGCGCGGCCATAACATCAAATCTCTCCTCCGCCGCAGCTCTCGCTCTCGACTCCTCGGAGGACAGCGAGTGCGACCCCTTCCTCGCCAGCAACGCTCCCAGTCGGAGGGGCATCCGCCCTTTCGCCTCGACCTCCTCCTCCGTGCTTCGCAGCCGGATGCGGAGCTCGTGGTGGGGGCGCGCCCATGCCTTTCTCTCCCGCAACTGGTACCTCGGATGCCTGGTGCCCGTCTCTATCCTGGGCGCTCTGATCTTCGTCGGCTGGGCGACGCGTGACTACGCACGCCAGCTGCTCTTCTGGATCGAGAAGCAAAACCCTTGGCTGACCTTCGCCGTCTACATGTCACTATTCACGCTAGTCAGCTTTCCCGTGGTAGTTGGCTACTTCGTCCTGCTTATCACCGCCGGTTACCTGTTCGGCTGCCTGCGTGGATGGCTTACCGTGATCCTGGGCGCAAACCTTGGCATCGCCATCGCCCACGCTACCATCCGCAGCTGCAGGCATCGAATTCCTGTTCAGAGGTGAGCGCTTCCCCGAGGGGAATCTGTTACTTAAGATTCGTTGCCCTGTCTTCGTGGCGGATATTCTATCTTGAAGTATTTATAAAGTCGCTTTGGCGGTCATTACAATAGAAAATAGAGCTTTTTAAAGTCCCTGCAGTTACCTACTTCGTATAATGGATCTAAAGAGAAATGTCTCCTTAAACATTTAGGATAAGAATTTATTACTGATTTCAAATTAGCTCGGGAACGTATTTCATGTAACATTTAAACTTTATTAAAAATCGCAGTAAACAAAGTTCGACTGACGCATTCGCTCCGGTTTATTACTTCTCTCTTTAACTTGAACGTGACTAAAGTAATGAGACAAGTTCCAAATAAACGAGCTATAGAATATATGCGCCTTTATGTACAGTAGAATCCGCTTATAGCGACTTTCAAGGGACCGACGATTTTTCGTCGTTATACCCGGAAGACGCACTAAGCAGAAGGATTTAAGTGTATAAGTCTGTCTGGGGACCAATTAAGCCATGGAGTTTTCTATAAGCGGAGTCGTTATAACAGGATTCTACTGTATTTTGTTCGGCATATTTGATGACTGTTTTTCTTGTTTCCTGTTTTTTTTTATTAAAGTTTGCAAATAATTTCAGTAAATTTATTGAAGATAATTAGCTGTAGAAACAATACTTATACTTTAAAACTTTAATAGTTTTACCCAATATCTTGTTAATTTTTATTTTCGATTATCAGCTGAAATATGAGGAAACACGTCAGATAATATTTTACAACATACGCAAATGTGTTACATTAGTGTTACAAGATTTTTTCACTTTTTAAATTGAAAATGAATATCGGAGTTCACTACCAATTGTTGCTCTAGAACCAGTAAATACTTATAATTTGTCAAATAGCCAAATATTAGCGTCACGAGGTTAATGGACGTAAATTTAAAATTTCCTCTATAAGGTAAATTGCGTAAAAATTATAAAACTAGTTACACTATTTGGCAATATTAAATTAATAAGTAATAAGTGTAATATTTTGAATGAAACTTTTAAATGGCGAAAAATTCTTTTTTAATTAAATTTTTTTTTGTAAAACCATAAAAAACATTCCAATTGTAAACCAACTTTTTTAATGAAACTTTGCTCGTCAAAATAATTTAACAATATCTTTATAGTTTTTCACATTTTCGATGGCAGCTGTATGATATGGGCGTCACATCGTATTTAAAAGTACATATTTGGTGATTTAAACTCGACATTGAGAAACTCGACTGTTGCGGTCCTTTTTGTTTCACTAAGTTTTAGTTCACGCTATTAGCAACGGAGAACAATCTGAAATTTCACGTAAACATTGAAGGTTTTACAAATTGTCCAAGTTTTCATTGAAACACTTGTTGGAATTTATACTTGGAACCCTTTTTATTAAAATACTCGTTGTGATTTATACTGTCAACACTTGGTAGAGTTAGTACTTTTGACAAACCATTTGCCAATCATAGTCAGAGAAATCGGGTATCCTATCTTCCATCAGTCTTTATATTGAGCCCGTTTCGACCCCCATGCCTTTTGTGCTAGGATTCACAAATGCTGCGTTTTGTTCGAAATTTGAAGTATTTTGCTCTGCGGAGCGTTCGTCGTGGCTGCGCCGTACTGGCATCTTCTGACCGAAGTGATGTCCACCTGGTGCTGCCAACTTGCCCCGCCTCCGAGTTCGCCAAGAGGATCCGGCCGCTTCCAGTGCCCGACTTGATCGAGAGGTTCTCCCGCGACTTTCCCGGCGGCCAGTTCGCCACAACGGTCGAGTATCTGCGCAGCGATCCGATGGCCGAAACGGTCCTGGTTCCCGAGGAGATTGATTTACACCGAAAAATGGTCCTGGACGACCTCAACGCCTATATGCAGGCGAAGGAAGCGTTTAGGGAGCTGCAAAGAAAGAACCGGGTATTCGCTCACGTTCTGGTGGTGTCTGGTGCTGACTCAGTCCGGAAATGGCCCTCGTGGCAGAAGCCCGAGTTTCTGTACCTTTGCGACTGCTTGAGGACGGGAAGTGCCCTGGTACTTCACCGCAGCCGAAAAAGAAGGATGGTGCGCTGCTCTTCCTGTCCGGGGATCTTGACTCCCAGCTGTCCACGGTTTATAGCCACATGCACCACGTGGACGACGTTCTGCCGCTCGCCATGTTGGAGAAGAGCTTGCTCTGGCTGCTAAAGGATCAGTCCCCCGAACTATGGCACTCCCTCGAGCCTTCCAGTCCCATCAGCCAAATGGTAGAAGAGGCGGCCGAGAAGGCCAAGACGCCCGTGGGAAACCCCCGTTACATTCTCCAGTACACGCGCACCGTGAAAACACCCCGGGAGCTGCGTGCACTGCGCCGCGCGAGCGCCATTGCTGCCAAATCGATGGCTGAGGTAATCGCCCTCGACCGACGTCATCCCCAGCAGCTGAAAGCATCCTTTGACTACATGTGCCGGATGCGCCACGCCCATCCGGACGCGTCCCATGTGTCGTGCGGATCGGACAGCGACCGGCTGTGGCAGATGGAGGCTGGCTGCCAATACGCAGGCTACCAAGGCGGGTTGGCCAGATGCTGGCCCAACTCGGGCCGGTTCACTCCGCCCCAGAAAATGCTTTACGGCGCTCTGCTCGACATTCATCGCGATCTGTGCTCGTTGATACAGTCTGCCGGAAGTGATGGCGCTGTGCGCACACCTATGGAACTGCATGCCGCCTACCTTATCCTGCTGGCAGGGCACCTAAGGGAGCTCCGGGTGCTGCCCAAGGGCGACCGAAGCCCGGCCGAGACGGTGGAGCTGGCCCGCAAGTACAACTGCTCGCCAGTCGTCGTCTCGCACGTGGGTCTTGGCAAGCTGGACACCAGTCGGAGGCTCCTCGAATACCCGTTCGCACCCGGGAACGTGTTGTCACTGCGCCTGTCCATCTCGGTCCCCGACGACTGCTGCCAGGCCTACCCCGAGTTCCGGGGCATCCTTTGCCAGCTCGGCGACACCCTGCACATCCGGGACGACTTCTCCGTGGAGGTGCTCACCGCCGACTGCCCCAGCGAGCGCCAGGCTATTGAGGCCGAGTGCTTGCCGACCAGCAGGGGCAGATCCTCACGGCTGCGGGCAGACGGGGATCAGGGCGGACCCGCTGATAGGCAACGGCTGCAAGATCTCGCTGGCGGGAACTGAGTAAAAGAAGTGGCTTAAGGGATCAGCGCGGTGCCCATGCCCAGAAATGCCGCGAAATGAGTAATGTGTATATCGCTGTGATATTTGTTTGTGCTGTTTCTGCAGGTGTTAAAACTCGATTTGTTATTTTCTTCTCTCTTTACTATTTGCTTGTTTCTTTGGTTTTATTGAAAGTCTTTGCATAGTGGGTCGGTTTATTTTCAACTCCTTATCAGCTGTTTTGAAATACATATTTACTATTCTGTTACTGTGAGAAATAAGTGCAGAAAGCAAGAGCTGATAGCAACAAGTTCTTACACTTTCTTTAATTATGAGAGTAGACCTGCCCCTCCCAGCATGTACCATTTATAGCTATCCAGATTTGTCCAAGAGCAACATTATTTTTTTCCAATAAATCAGAAACCAAAAGTGGGAAAAGTTCTAGTTTACAACCGCTTAATTGCGTTGCCTACCTGTTGTTTATGGGAGAGTGTAAACCGGATAACTGCCGAAAGGTGGAACTGGCGTACAGCCCCCATAAACAGTTCCTGATTGTTATTTAGATAAACGCAAAACGGCGCAATATGTGATTGTAATGTATTAATAAATACATTATTACTTTACGTTCAGGCTGATCAAGAATGATACGGGACGAGCCATTCTCCGCGTGATTTCTGGACCAAGGGCTTTCAGGGTGGTGCTCTTCACACGACTCACGCCCATTCCCTTCGGAGTACAAAATGTAATATTCGGAGTAAGTAGACCAATAGATGATCCGGGCATATAGGAACGGCTTGTGAGTTACTAACGGGGATGCATTTGAAGGATCGGAATACTCGTACTACTCTTCGATTCCGTTTGCATAGCTGTCTAATTGGTGTCAAAACATTGTCGTAGCGTACTGCGCACTACATTTCTTTTAAAGAATGCAAACCAATATGAACCATGCAATCAAATTTTAGGGCTTTATTCAGACATACTAATATAATGCTTCTCGATATTGTAAACAGAATAATATGATTATTAAGAGGTATTATCAACACCGGTACATTTAATTTAAGGATTTGATTAAACAAAACACCGCTGAAATGATATAAATCCCGATTAACTTTAAAGAAGCTTCATCAAATCATTTAATACGCAATTATAGACACATCTGCAGAACTCTACAACATTTTTTTCCAGATCAGTTCCGTCAATACGAGAGACTACCATGTTGCCACTATGATTGGGCTTCTGCCAGCCCAAACTATAAATGTTTACTTGGGCTCCACACTGAGGTCCATGCACGAGGTTCTAAATGATAATGGAACCAAGCTGACCGGCTACATAAGCTTCGTTTTTGAGGTAACATTAAGAGTTTTCCATAAATGCAGGGTTAAAGCAGGAGTTACCTATTTTTTTTACAAAGTACCAAGGATTTACATTTATTACTAGAAGACTAAGTGTTATAACAAAGTATATTGAAAAGTTTGTAAGAATTAGAAAAAAACAGTTGTGGACCCATTCGCCTGTCCATCCTTCAATTCTAACGTATGAACCTCGATATCATGGGAAACATTAAGAATTTGTATATTTGCATATTTGCATATTTGCATGCTGCAGGTTCTAGTTATAAATACGCATCTATATAGTTATCAAAAAGATCACTTTTCCATTCACAATGTTTTTGATACGTCGATTTATATTGATAATTAAAATTATTTTGATAAAAAATTTTCACAATTTTTCATCACAGTAACGGATGTTGAATGCTTAATTTGCGCTTATTCTTTTAAATTTAAATTTCAGAAAGTTAAATTTACAGTCAAGACCTCGTTTCGCTTTTGTTCCTTACACTGATTATTTTTACTAACGAAAAACATTTACTCTTTGAAGTACAATTCTTTCACTTTTCCCATTCGTTATGGAATAAAAAATGTAATATAAAAAAATAAGTGAACTTAAGTAGTAAGTTTAATTACTTCGTAAATCCACACTTGGGGTTTTGTTTTTGCAGAACTAAATACTTAAGAACTAATAAAGTTAAGTTATAATATTTTTGAATATGTTTGAATTAGGAAATACAGTTTCTAATCAGATTTTTCTATTTAAAGGTTATATGTGGTGCGGCTCTGATGTTCTGGGTTGTGCAAAAAGCGAGAAAGGAGCTGTCAGAGACCCTGTTAATCGCTGATTACAACAACGACGGCAAGCACCCTGATATTCAAGTATAACAGGAGCGACTTCGGGAGGGGAGTCCCCAAAAGAGACCAGAGAGCATCCCCGGCTCCCAGTGAACCTCCTGGTCTGGAGGACAAGACTGCGTTATTGCAATAACTAGTTTAAGAAAAGGTGGTTTACGGATAATATTTTGTTAATTTATGCTCAAGGCAATGCCAACGATACCAAACATTACGCTAATTTAAAGTGATTGTATGTTTACTGGTTCCAATCAGAAGCTTTCCCAAAACTGGGTTCGAGAGTACCCAAAACGCTGAACATCACAATTAAATTCTTACAAATAGGCATATTTTTAACTAAGTCAAAGCCTCGCTCTTAAGCCGATCTGTTTAGGCATCGATTTTCGGTCATAATGCTGCTCTCTACCGATGTTCAATTACTAGATTGTAAGCAAAGCGAATAAATGAGCTCTGAAGTACAATTCACTATCTCCTCGTCTGGCTTTTTCTCCAGCTGCGAGGGCTTTTGCTCATGTGGAACTTAAAGGCTGCCTCCATTGTCTCCAGGGCGAAGTCGACATCTCCTGTGCAAAGGCATAGGGGAGGCCTCAAGGTCAGAACCTAAAGGTGGAAAAAAAGGGGGCGAAGTGTGCAAATTAGTTTCGAGAATGGTCCAGATAAACATTTTTCTCCAGCAAACAAAGTTTCTCGACAACAAATTTAAAATGTTTTATACATATAACATATAATATTGTTTTGCATACTTTAAGGCAGAAGACTTTAGAGTAAAAACGAGTTATCCAAAATTTGTTATCGTTATTTTTCCCCGTAGCTATGCAGTAGTCCGAACTAATTTTTTCTACAATTTGGAAGAACTTTTTATACCCTTGCAGAGCAAAAGGGTATTATAATTTCAGTCAGAAGTTTGCAACGCAGTGAAGGAGACACCTCAGACCCCATAAAGTATATATATTCTTGATAAGCATCACGATCTGAATCCAAATATGCATGTACGTCTGTCCGTCTGTCCATCTGTCCGTCTGTCCGTTTCCGCGCAAACTAGTCTCTCAGTTTTGAAGCTATCTTGATGAAACTTTCCCAAAAGGTGTGTAGTTATTGCACGCAGTATATAAGTCGGAACGTGCCGGATCGGCCGACTATATCGGATAGCTCCCATATGAGAGAATGAAATAAAAAATTCTCACGCCGTTGTTTTTGATCAGATCGACTTGAATTCTTCAAGATGGCGTTTTCTAACTGTTATTGAATTTCGGATTAAATTTGATCAAAATCGGATAACACTATCATATAGCTGCCATAGGAGAGATCGAAAATTATATATAGAATTAATGGAAATAAATTGATAACATCGTTGTTTTTTATCCCACGAGCATGATTTTTTGAATATCAAGTTTTTTTAACAACGTTTATATTGGAAAAAAAGTTTCAAAAAAATCGGTCATCTATATCTTATAGCTGCCATAGGAAAGATCGAAAAATCTATATAGAAATAATGGAAATAAAATTATAATATCGTTGTTTTTCATCAGACAAGTATGATTTTTGGAATATAGAGTTTTCTTACGACTCTTGAATTACGAATTAAATTTGATCAAAATCGGACACCTGTATCGTATAGCTCCCATATGATCTATAGTCAAAAATATGGAAAATGAATAGAACAAGAAAGGAAGCTAGCTTCGGCAAGCCGAAGCTTATATACCCTTGCAGTCATCAAATATGTCGAACAAAACGCATAAAGGCTAGACAACATCGAAGCTAAGACGATTTTTCTATTCATTATATATACTTTATGGGGTCTGAGGTGTCTCCTTCACTGCGTTGCAAACTTCTGACTGAAATTATAATACCCTTTTGCTCTGCAAGGGTATAAAAATCGTCTTAGATTCGATGTTGTCTAGCCTTTATGCGTTTTGTTCGACATATTTGATGACTGCAAGGGTATATAAGCTTCGGCTTGCCGAAGCTAGCTTCCTTTCTTGTTTACTATCTATTCTATTCTATTTTTGTAATGAATCGTTTACTATCGAGCAAAATGCTTAAATGGCTAACAAAATCGAAGCTATACCTGTTTTTTAATATTTGTATACCCTTGCAGAGGGTATTTTAATTTCAGTCAGAAGTTTGCAACGCAGTAAAGGAGACACCTCAGACCTCATAAAGAATATATATTCTTGATCAGCATCAGAATCTAAATACGTCTGTACGTTTCTATGTAAACTAGTCTCTCAGTGTTAAATCTATCTTGCTGAAACTTTCCGAAAAGTCGTGTAGTTATTGCACGCAGTATATAAGTCGAAACGAACCGGTTCGATCCATATCAGATAGCTCCCATACGAAAGATTGAAAAAAAAAAAATTATCACGTTATTGTTTTTGATTAGATTGATTTGATTTCTTCCAGATGGTGTTTTTAAAGTGATTTTTACTACTATCGAATTTTGAATTAAATTTTATAAAAATCGGACAATTGTATCATATAGTTGCCATAGGAAAGATATAAGACTAAAAGTCGAAAATATAACAACTTAATAGAAAAATCGACATAGCTTGTTGCTTAGCCTCGGTGTATTTGGTTTGACATTTTTGATTACTGCAAGAGTATATAAGCTTCCTTTCTTGTTCTATAATTCCTTCGATTGTTCGTATACATATTTAGAAAACATATCAAAAACTTTTTCTTTTGTTTTATTGTTTTGTTTTTATAAAATGTAATAGTTATTATATTAGTCTCAGAAGAGGATGCCCAAAGCATTCAGTGATATGTAAAAGTTTAACTTGATGTTAAAAGCTTAACTGCATTCAGTCCATTAGTTAAGTGAGCCAGCAAAAGCCCTTGAGAATACAATAAAATGAAACGAAATGAAAACATGCTATTAACGATGATCACTGTTCATGCTAAACATAGTTAAATATTCCCAACATACATATATAACACTTAAAGAAATTCTTGAAAAAATTTAATTGATAATTCTTTAGATATTGAACAACCAAGATTCCTTGCAGTCACTTCATTATCACTACTCCAGGAGGTTCCGAACCGAATCGACTAATAAATGCATCGGAAACCGTCCAACCAGCGCTTTCTTTCTTGCACCTCCGCTAATTATCCTTCGGCAGGGACTCCGTGATGGCCCGGGCCAGAACATCCACGGCGAACTTCGCGTCAGCCCGATTTATGCACATGGGAGGCTTGATGCGCAGAACCTGTGAAGACGCACGAAAGGATGCACAGATAGAGACAGGAAAGGGGTGCGGGTGCGCCGGAGGAAGAGCCTCCAGGGAGTCCAGCTCGCCTGGAAATCCTTCAGCCGACGCAGGTTTATAGTTAGTCTTGTTAAAGGTGCCAGAACGAGGACGATAGAGCCCAAATGAAGATGCACGGGATAAAGGCTTTCACTTACGTTTCCGTGAAGGCCGCCGCGTCCGAAGAGCACGCCCAGGTCCTTGCACTTCTCCCAGATCTCCAAGATGTGCGGCGTGGCCAGTGGGGTGCGCAACTCGCGGTTGCCCACCAGCTCCACTCCGATCATCAGCCCCTTGCCCCGCACATCGCCCACTATCTCGAAGCGCTGCTGCAGCGCGGCCAGCTCGTGGAGGAAGTAGGTGCCCACCTCCAGGGCGTTGCGCTGCAGCTGCTCCTCCTCGATCACGTCCAGCACGGCGATGCCCACAGCGCTGGCCATGGGGTTGCCGCCGTAGGTGTTGAAGTGCAGCGCCTGGCCCAGCGAGGCGGCGATCTCCGGCGTGGTGACCACCGCGGCCAGCGGGAACCCGTTGCCTATGCCCTTCGCCATGGTGACCACGTCGGGCACGTAGTCGTGGCCCTCAAAGCCCCAGAAGTGCTCGCCGGTGCGCCCGAAGCCCGTCTGCACCTCGTCGGCCACGAAGAGCCCTCCGTTTGCCCTGACCAGCGCAGCAGCGCGCTTGAGGTAGCCTTTGGGAAACTGGACCGTGCCACCGACCCCCTGGATGGACTCGGCGAACATGGCCGCTACCTTGCCGCGCGGCAGCGAGTACTTGAAGGTTTCCTCCAGCTCCTTGTAGTAGGCGTCTCCCGCCTGGCAGCCCTCCTGGCACTGGCATTCGCGCGACGTCTGCACCGGCGAGTCCCGGCAGGCGGAGCCGCCCCAGAGGCCCTGGTAGGGATCGGGGTTCATCACGTGCACGAGTCCGTTGTTCACCCCCGGCAGCGGAAAGCGCCAGGTGGAGTGGGCCGTGAGGCCCATGGTGTACGGCGACATGCCGTGGTAGGCGTTGCGCAGCGAGAGAATGTCCTGGTGGCCCGTGTGCATGCGCGCCATCAGCATGGCCAGGTCGTTGGCCTCCGAGCCGGAGTTCACGAAGCAGACGCTCTTCAGGTTTCCTGGGAACTTGGCCACCAGTCGCTCGGCGTACTCGTGGATCTTGGGATGCATGTAGATGTTCGTCGTGTGCCACAGCTTGGCGATCTGGTCGCTCAGTGCCCGGTTAACCTTCCTGCGGGCGAGTGCGATTTGCGTGAGCAGAGGTGTCTCTGAATTTTTTACATGAAAACTATTCGGTAATCCACCTTTACCTTTGGTACTCTAACAGCGAACTCTACGGGTTCCCTATGCTAATTTGTGGATTTGCCTTTTTAAGAATACAATTTTATCCAACTTTTTAGGTTTTGTCAACCAACTTAATAGGGAGATAGAGTTTCATTTTCCACTAACAAAAAGCACAAATTTTTCAAATGTTTGTTTTGGTGCTTATGTTCAAAGTCGGCTTAAGAACATTCTCATTCGAATAACTACTACCAAAACAGTATAAATCAAACAACTCGTAGTAAAGGATCCATCCCTACCATTTTTATACCCAAGCAAAGAGTCTTACAATTTCAGTCAAAAGATTCCAACGCAGTGAAGGAAAGCTCTTAGACCCTATACAGTATACATCCTTGATCGGCATCACCTCCTGAGTCGATCGTATACTCTATTTATTTATTACAGGAAGTGTTTATGTCGGATCAGCCCCTCACGGAAGCCACTTCACTGCGGTGCAAATTTCTGAACGTAATTTAATTCCCTCTGCAAGGATATAAACAAATACACCTTTATAAAGTTTCATAAAAAACCTAAGCGGAGACCTTTGAAAAGGAGAGCCACTAAACTAAGTAATTAAAATGTGTATAGCTTTTAAATGTCATACTCGATATACTTTCATCTACTTGTTGCAAACTTTACGACTTGAGGTTAAAACAAGGAAAGGAAGGGGAGCAGAAGTTTATATACCCTTGCAGTCATTAAATACGTATATCGAACAGAATACATAAAGGCTTAACAACACCGAAGCTATAGAGATTTACTAATTAAATTTCATTAAAATCGGACGACTATATTATATAGCTGTCATATGAACAACAGTCGGAAATATGGAAAATGAATAGAGAACTCGTCATAGCTTCGATGTTGCTTAGCCTTTATGTATTTTGTTAAACTCTTTGATGCCTGCAAGGGTATATCAGCTTCGGCTTGCCGAAGCTAGCTTCCTTTCTTGTTTTCGATATAATTTTCTATATTTTATGTTTGATTTGATTCGAAGTTCAAGAGTCGTCAGAAAACTCTATATTCCACAAATCTTGCTCGTCTGATGAAAGACAACGATGTTATAATTTTAATTCCGTTAATTCTTTATAGATTTTTCGATCTCTCCTTTGGCAGCTATATGATATAGGTATCCGATTATATGAGCAAATCATACCAATTTTTTCAATCTCTTGTTTGGAAGCTATTCGATATAGTCGACTTATATACTGCGTGCAATAACTCAACTATTGGTAAAGTTTCAGAAATGGACCTTTTAAACTGAGTGTTTAGTTAACATAGAAATAGACAAACGGACAGTTGTGCAGACGTAGTTCGATTCAGATCGTGATGCTGATCAAGAATATTTGTATTTTATGAGGTCTGAGGTGTCTTCTTCGCTGCGTTGAAAACTTCTGACTGATATTATAATAGTCTTTATAAGATCGCGATAGGCTGGATAGCGCCGCTACTACTTTATCGTTACTCAGATAAACAATGTCAACTTTTAAAACTCGACGTCCCTACAGACAGAAGGGCTCAAGGGTGGGAAAGAAAAGAAATAAATATTTTTCACAGAAAAATGTTTTGGCATCAAAACTGTAGGCGCCAGAAAGGAAAAGGAAATAGGAATTCTTAAAACTTAATTCTCTACGTACATATGTATGTATTTACCTCTAGAATTGGTATGTTCGATTTCAATATTCTAGATCTAATAGTTTTCAAGATATTGATGTTCACATAAGCACATAAAACAGAAACAAACAAATTTGCCCTGCTCACGAATAAGAAAAATCTATGTATGTACATATTTTAGCTCTAATAGTTCCCGAGATGTCGACGGACGGGCGTAGATCGGCTATTCTGATGAAAAATATTTTTACTTTATGGGGACGCAAGTGCTTCCTTCTACCTGTATACTTTTCAACAATCTCAGTAAACCCGAGTTACGGGTGTAAAAAAATAATAAGTTAGTTTTCTTACGGATGACAATGTCCCACGGACACTGTAACTATTCCTCCAAACATGTCCAGATATCGCCGTCCCTCGTGGTCAAACAGCCATTGCATGTGTCCTGCGTGGATCACCAGTGGCTTTTTGAAGTGCGCTAGCAGATTGGGGGTCAGGTGGTTGCGCCTTGTTTCCAGGATCTTCTCGTAGCTGGATCCATCGTAGGCTCCCGGACGATGATCGCACTCTGGCATTTCACTCTGCGCATGGTTCGTTGCGGCTGGCGTTGTGCTTGAGTTGGAGTTCCTGCGAACCAAGAAGCGCGGGATAACCCGACCGTTTTGAGCTGCAAGGATAGAAATAAATAGGACCGTATAAGTCCTTGACTACATTAGACGATACTAGTGCCTAAGTCATCAAGATGCTTATTTAGGTTTATTTATTATTGTGTGTGTATCGGACGATCATAGCAGATGTGTTAGGGAAAACCTGGTGGACTGCACGTCAACTTCAGAATCAGAAACATTTACATGCAACTTCAACATTTTTATTAACGCAGCCCTGCCATTTTAAGCACTTAACATTGCTCTCTCCGAAAACTTCATACATATGTGTGTTGCGATTTTAGGAATTTCTGAAAATGTGTTTGATGTGAGCTCCTCAACAAAAGCCTTTCATCTCCAATTCTCAGATAAAGGACGATTTTAAACAGTTTTATACCCTTGCAGAGCAAAAGGGTATTATATAATAATTTCAGTCAGAAGTTTGAAACGAAGTGAAGGAGACACCCCAGACCCCATAAAGTATATATATTCTTGATCAGCGTCACCATCTGAATCGAAATGCGTCTGTACGTCTGTCTGTCTGTCCGTCCGTCTGTCCGTTTCTCTTCAAACTTCAGTTTTAAAGCTATCTTGCTGAAACTTTACCAAAAGTTGTGTAGTTATTGCACGCAGTATATAAGTCGGAACGGGCCGGATTGGGCGACTATATCGGATAGCTCCCATAAGAGAGAATGAAATAAAAAATTCTCACGCTGTTGTTTTTAATCAGATCGACTTTACATGTTATGAAATACCCGAAAGTATTCTTCATATATTATGTAGTAGTAATATTCTGACTGCAATTATAAGGATGTCAAATAGCTCCCTTCTGCTTTATTGGTCTTTATTCAATGCTTTATAAAAAGGGTTACAGGGATCGGATTTACTTCAATTATGCGCCGTTTTGTTCGATAATCTATTTCTATCTAGACGTCAATTTCATAATACCCTCCTCGTAGAAGCCTTCCTCCTTGCAATATGGTGCACGCGATAAAACCTCCCATCCGAAGATTCAACAACGAAGTACGAGGTGTGTTCAAAAAGTATCGCGAATTTTGAATTTTCGCGGGTTACCTCGTATCGAATTTCGATTTTTTTGGAGCGTTATGTTGGTACTCATGTCTCTCACTTATGCCGACAAGCTCGGCCATTTTGAAAGTTCACTTAATTGTTGACAGCTGCTTTGCTTGCACCTGTTTTGGATCGTCTTCGATTTTTACCTATTCAAAAAAATGGATCAAAGAACCTGTATCAAATTTTGTGTGAAAAACGAAATTAAGTGCATGAATGCATTCCGAATGTTGACTGTGGCATACGGAGAAGCTACCTTAGACCGAAGCAACGTTTTTCGGTGGTACAAAATGTTCTCAGAAGGCCGAGAAGATGTGAACGACAAAGAGCGTGCCGGACGCCCGAGCACTTTAACAACAGACGAAAAAATTAATGAAGTGGAGACTGCAGGGGCGTGGTGCATCATGAGTTCTTGCCACAGGGAAGAACGGTCAATAAGGAATACTACCTGCAAGTTATGCGCAGAAACGCCCTGATTTGTGGAAGAACAAAAATTGGCTTTTGCACCACGATAACGCCCCTGCTCACACATCGTTGCTTGTGCGCGACTTTTTGGCCAAAAACAACACACTAATGATGCCGCAGCCACCGTATTCCCCAGATCTGGCCCCCTGTGACTTTTTCTTGTTTCCTAAACTGAAGAGTCCCATGAAAGGACGACGTTACGCTACGCTTGACGAGATAAAGACGGCATCGAAATGATTTTTTGAAGTGCTTGGAAGATTGGAAAAACAGTTGGCACAAGTGCATAATATGTCATGGGGATTACTTTGAAGGGGACATAATAGATATTCATGAATAAATAAATAATTTTTGAAAAACCACAAAATTCCAGCACATCGCAGGCGTTTGTTTATTCGGTCCAGAAGGTTTTTTTGCGTCAAATCATGCGGCACCCAAACATCAAGTTTTTGTTTTTAATCCTGCCATCTTCAGATGGCTGAAAAAGGTTTGGTGACTTACATACCCCATCTCCTAGGAGATGTCACGAGATGCCACATGCTGGTCCAACTCGATGATTCCATAATTTGATCGCTATTTGTGGTCCCAGGTCTTCCGCCGGCTGTCTTATCCAAGGTATCGTTTTCACCGGCGCTTAATCGTCGAAACCATTCGAAATGATATCGTACCATCCCCCAAAACCCCATTTATCTCTATCGGATTTGCCATTAACGAAGCAAAACTTTAGAAAAGCACGAATTGCTAGTGATAGCGCGAATTGAAGTGATGGAGCACCATCCCTGAAAACCCCATTAATCTCTATCGGATTTGCCATTAACGAAGGAAAACTTTAGAATAGCGCGAATTTCGGCGTTAGTGAACTTAATGTTAACAGATATATAACTATTAAACATACAGTAGAATCCGCTTATAGCGACTTTCAAGGAACCGACGATTTTTCGTCGTTATACCCGGACGCACTAAGCAGAAGGATTTAAGTGTATAAGTCTGTATAGGGACCAATCAAGCCATGGAGTTTATAATAGGATTCTACTGTACATATTGTTGCTTAACACGAGCTTTGCGCATAGCGAAATTCAAAAGACAAAAAGACGGAAGGGAGATATTTAACAACATTATATAATAGTATACCCTCAGTAAAGGTATAAAAGCCATTGAAAGGTTTATTTGCAGATGTATTCTCAAAAATTATTAAACAATGCCAAAAGCATTATTTTCAATTCTGTTCCTATATGAAGAAGTTTCCCGTGCCCACTGTTCTGATGCGCTTTGTCACCACATTTACATTGGTCACAGATTTTTCATTCTGCGGCACGCTCCCATGAGCGGTTTTTCACCGTAAGGTGTTTCTTTCAGAAGTTTTTCTTTTGAAATACAGACTTATTTACGTTTTCACAAGATCATCATAATCCTTTACTGATATAAAAGTAAACCTGCCAGATATGTATCATACAACCTTTCGTCGTTTAAACAAAAAATGTGAGCTTTGAATTTGAATCTAAATAAACAAGGAGAGTTTTATAGAAAGTTTTGAAAAAGTAGATATGGGACTATATTTCTAAGGCACACTGATAAACTTCTGATGAAAGCATGAAATAAACAGAATTTTTCTAGCTTAAATGTAATTGAGTATCAATTTCCAGCAGAGACTGTTCGTGCACCTGCACACTCTGGTTGAGTTAAAGCTCTGAATTGTAAACAAATTGTAAAAAGGTCAATGACAGTGAATAAGTACGCGCAAATGTGCTGCTTTGTAAACCGCATACACCAATTTCTTGTTCACTATTTTCCTTATCCAGCTTCACAATAGAAACAAATTGGGTCTTCTATTTATAAACGTGTTTGCTTCCCAATTTCAACTGATAAGAAATGCCCCCCGCCAACAGCCTAGGCCACACAAATTCTTAGTGCGCGTGGAACCAACATTGGATTATCAGCTTGCCGTCACCTGTCAAATTATCAACTCTCCCCTTATCAGTCTTATCTGCGCGACACCGTATTTAAACCAACCTGCGACTATACCTAAAATTTCGGTACAGAAAGATTAACTTAAAAAAAAATTCGGAAATAGTTTTAAAATATTTTTGAAAATTCAAAAACCTTTTAAAATCACACCATATTTATTATAGTTTTGTAAGGTGTGTGTAAGGTCATAGGTGTTTGTCATCTGCCAAATGAATTGCTTATATTTCGGAGCCAAGATCGGCTGATGGTTAGTTAAATACAGGTGATAAATTGCATAAGGAAAGTGCCGTAAAAGAACTATTGTTGGATGCGATGTGCGACCCTGACCCTAAAATCCCGTAAAGAACTTACCCAAAAATCTCTTGGACATCATTTTTTAGATTCAGCTGCTGCTCTAAGGCTGCTCTCTAATCACTTCCCGATAGGTATATGTATATTTGTTTGGGCTTAAACAGCACGACAAGCAACGCCAGATGATTAACGCGAGGCCAGTCGTCCGTACGTAACGTTGTTAATGGAGCAACTGATCGACGGATAATGCCTAGTTTCAGTGCTGGCCGAGAAAGCTCATACAGCGGAAAAGCTTCGGTCAACGTTATCAGATTGAAGAGCAAAGTCAAGGCTAAGGAAAATGACTCTCTTTTGTCAGCCCAAGCCTTGTAGAGAAAGAGGTGGGAGGTTTGATACACAGTGGGGCAACAGCCGGTTGTCTCATAATAATTTATTTCAATTCTTGTTTGCTATGTACTGAAGCACAAACTACTGAAGTGCACAGGTAATCCTTTGTTTTTAACAAAAAATATATCGCTTTATCGCTCCTTGCTTATTGCTGCGCGGGGCACTTTGTCCCGGATTCAATGCGCAGATTGTTTTGGGTGGCAGACATTTAACGTTGTAGTTTCATTTACATTAGCCGTTGATAGTAGGTAGCCCTCGAATATGCTATATCGATTTATCAAGTATGAATAATATATTTTGCTTTATCAACCAACATCACGAGTTTGCGCTTTGATTCTCACATTGCCCATCCCCATCCCCTTCGGACTTTCCCGACCTTACTTAACCCGATGCAACAGATTATACAGAAACATAAAATATTTTCGGGGTCATCAAAAAACAAGCTCTAGGCGGCGTTTTGGGCTACAATGATTACACACTCAACAATAACCGATCTGAACCGGAAAAACAACGTCCTCTCCAAAGAGTCTATTCGGGGAATTCATTTAAAATCGGTGTACAGATCTGGACTTCGAGGCGTTGTGGTTGACTGTGCCGGCTGCTCCAGGTTAGCCGCCATCTGGCGCAGATTCTCCACGCCAGTCAGCAGTTGCCTGTAAGGAATTGAAAATGGACGGTAAGGTGGCTTCCTCTTCTAATATTGCCTTAGCTAACCTCAGGTTATGTTCCGCAGTGTCGGCAGCTCGCAGTAGATCCCTTGACAAATGATGCGTTCTGGACGGTCGCGTGGAGCTGTTCCCGCTACTAGCAGCGCTTTCACTGCCTGTTCCGGGAGTTGCTACTGGAACTCCTCCCGCGGCGCAATCAGTGACGCCGCCGCCTCTTAGCGTGTTAAGCTCTGCCTGTTGGTAGAATGATACAAATTAGAAGAGGTCGGTTCAATATTATTAACTCCACTTAACATTACTTATTAGAAACTATATCTTTTAAAAGCAAATGCAAAATGTTAAAAATATTGGTAGATGCAAAATTAATAAAGATCAATGTAAAAGCCGTTACTTTATTCCTCTGGTTCATTTTACAAAAAAAAAATTTGTATATGTACTTCTTTTTTTGTAATCAGTATTTTATCTTTAGCTTTTACCAGTCATCGTCGAATTAAAAACTCTTTAGTTCTTTTTATTTTTGTTATTACTTTGTTGTCTACCATTAGTTTTTTTAAATGATGTTTTCAAGATAAATATAAAAGTGATAGCCATGGCTTTGGTGGTTAATAAGACAGTTAAAAAAGGAAATCTGGAATATATCTAGTAGCTAGAGTTACGTTAGAGAATTCAATTGTTAGTTAAGTCAGCAATCATGGACTTACCTCTAACTGGGCCAACTGGCGCCTGAGATTCTGCGTGGTCTGTGTGTTATTTGTTGCAACCACCGCCTCTCGTCGCCGCGCGGCCACGGAGAGCTGCTGCAGCTGCTGTTCAAAATCGCTGGCCCGCCTAGTCTGGACATTAAGTTCCGCGCGAGTTTCTTGCAGCTCTCGCTGTAGACGATCGTTTTCCTGCCGTAGTGTCGACAATTGCAGCGTGGCAGCCGCTTCCTGGGGTGGCGAGTCAATGGGATTGGAGGGCAGCCCTATAGCGACGTCGGCCAGACGCTGGGATGAGTGAATTATGGGGCCGTCGGACAGGAAGTCAGGCAGCATTTTGACAGTGGAGCCGGCGCCCGGTTCGACGGCGGGACAGGGGAGGACGGCTGCACTTGAAACACCCCTAGGTGCGAGCGCCGACGGCAGCAGTCCCACTGCTCCACTCGTCGGCTCAGCCGCTCCCAGAGGTGAGTTGGGGGGAGAGCTCACTAGAGGATCCTGGCCGGCGCTCCAAGCGTCAGGCAGGTGGTCCTGCACAAAGTCTGGCAATGCGGACGCGGCTGCAGCACCGCCGCCGCCAGCTCCACCAGGTACTGCATTGCACGCATCTAGGGGCAGGTCAAGCTTCATCTTGGGGCCAGCGGACAACACTAATCGGGTGGGGCGTTGATCACGGTTTCCAGAAGGACGTCGGCGCGGCGAGGACGAGGGACACTGCACATGGGGTGGTGGCATATCGTAGTTAGAGTAGGAGCGCGGTACGTATCGTGTACCAACAGTTTGTTGCTGATTAGAAGCGGCCGATGGAAATATGTCCGCCCGTGTGAGCAACGAATCGTAAAGACTGCTGTTGCGTACTTGGGCCAGCGCCACGTGGTCGTCGTCGTCGTTGTCAAGTGCATCCTGCACGTCGTCGTGACCCAGCCGCAGATCCGGTCTCAATCGGTGCTGAGATCCGCCACTGCTACAAGAGTCGCCTCCCCCGCAGGCTGCGTACTCAGCTAGACTCGCCTGCGAGTCGAAGGAGCTAAAGCGCGGAGAGCGCTTCATCCTGGAGGACGCACCGCCACCATTCACATCCGGCGGCTGCATGTGTGACGCTGAGGCTGATTGGGGCACCTTGGGCCGGGCGCCCGTAGATGTCTGCACTGCGGCCGAGGTCACCGTGCTGGTCGGAGCTGTCACAGTGCCCGTGCTGCTGAGAAAGTGCTTGAAGGAGAAGGACGACGAGGCTGCACCTGATCCCGCGCCGCCAGTGGACGTTGAGGGTCGCGTGCTGGTGTAGTCCGGTCCGCGGCCGTTTAGGCAGACATCCGCGACGAGATCGTTCAAGCCCAGCGTTGCCGACGTCGAATCCTTGGAGGACTCCGTCGCCTCGGTCAAAAGTGCCTGCTGCGCGACTTGGGGAATCCTCTGCGGCGGGGTGCCCGTAGGCGCCGCTTCGGTCGCACTTCCATTTGCCATTTAATTGCAAACGCGAACGAGGAGCGATAGACTGATCCAACTGCCGGGATGGCCTTCAAAGTGTCGGCCGTACTGCGTCTTGTGGCGTCTGATGATTCCCTGCCTCCTGTGGTAGCGATCTCTCCTGCAACTCAGTTATTTTCGCATCCCATTTTTCCTGCGACTTTTCACTTGGGCCTATTTTTGCAGTGTTGTTAAGTTATGGAAGTCGATGACGAAATTTCCAGCACTGGCGAAGGCACGCAGCACGAAATATCGATTGGCGCCACAAAATTTTTTTTTGAATTAGAGGCTGCGTTCACCAATAAAAATTGGTCATTTTTAGAGTTAATTTGTTAAGGTCGTTGTGGTTAAAGCATAATTATATAAAAATGGAAAGAAATATACAAAAATCAAACAACACCAAGTCTTAAATTATTTACAATTGAATAAATACTATAAAATATAAATAAACTATAAACTAAAATTGCGAATAAAAAGTATATGATTATTTTTCTATAAATACCCAATATGTGTATACCCAAAAGCCTTCAAAACGCCAAAGTTCTACAGTGAAATTTTGTTTTTTAATCAAAACATTTATTTAAAGGAATAGCCATATTATTTGGCACTCGTAAACCCAGTTCTGGAAATCGCCTTGCGCACAGTGTTGCTTAACGCGCACAGTCCAGCCATAGTAAACAAAACGCGATGTTGGTTCGTTGCGCATTTTTAATGCAATAAAAGCGAAAGGCAAGGCGAAATCACGCAATTACCGTCGTGCTACCTTTTTTGTCTAATAATCCGTAATCTTGCGTGATCCAGCAGAGCCCAATTTAAAGCATTTCCCAGTGCGTTGTTGCCCCGCTTTTGTAAAAGAAAAATTCTGCGTAGCAAACAAACCGGTCGGTGCTCTTGTACATACATTGTATATACACACACAGACACGTTCAGACGCGTACATGGCTGAGGAAAAAGCGTCGCAGTGCATTTTGTGTGGCAAATTAATTGCGCCCAGAGTCTCGGAAAACAGTATTGGCCTCTCAAACGCATAATTTTCGGCGTCCATATGCAACTGCTCTGCCCGGCCTGTGCCGTGCCTCTGCCGCGGGGGTGAGGGTGCGTCCATGTGAGCCTGTGTGCGTGAGTGCGCGAGTGTAAAGGTGGTGAGCCGAAGCAGAAAGTTCGCGTTTTGTGAATTGCCGTGCAAACACACAAACATCCCGCCCACGACGGACCCACCCCCTCCCGCTCCTTCGTTAGCTAGTGTTCCACTTTCGGCTGTCCTGGTTTCCTCACGGTGCAGCCAGGATATCAGCTTCTTTGCGGGCGTGTTCTTTGCCCTGTCCCAATTTCTGAGGCGGAAGCTTTGCCGATCGAAGAACGTAGAGCCACAATATATTTGCAGCATGCTCGAGAGCTGCGACAGGTAAGTGTCTTGTCGCCCTAGCCAGTTCCAATTAGCCATTCGTTCTGCCGCCCTTCATACAATTCAAAAAAAGAAAATAACTCTGTACGGACCTCGGCCCCATTTACTGATTTTCTCGTCCTGTCTCTCTCTGTTTTCTCTCCATTTCCCTCGCTTGACTTTTTTGCTGGCCTTTTGGCTTTTCCCCTGCATTTCCACATGCGTCGGCCTTTGCCTTTCTCTCACCTTGCACAGTGGAGCTGGACACTTGGCACGGTTTTATAAAACGAAATACTGTAGTCTACGGCCTCGTTAGCGATATACCGACAAATTACTGTAATTGTATAAAAACATAAACTAATATGCAATACATTGCGTTGTTCTAAACATTTAAATGTTTTCACATTGCTTTTATAGTAACCATCGGTCCAACCTTTTTGTGTTGTGTTAAAAAATATATTTATAGTTGATATATTAAGTTAAAGTGCATTTTATGTCCAGGAATACAGTTAATGGTATAAAGAATCGTTTTTACAGAAACGCGCTGGGAAATTCTGCAAGTTTCTTTTTAAAATCTCCCTACATACAATTTTGTTCCACTGTACACGTCCCTAGCGTTTCTCGTCTGTCATTGCTGCCTCTGCTTTTTCTTTTTTTCTTCGTTTTGTATACAAATTATGGTGAGCTGTTGTTATTATTGTTTTTGCAGTTGTTGTTGTTTTAAGCTTTTATGGGCAGTGCATTCCACTTGTTTGTTGTTAATTTTGTTGTCTCTGCTGCTGTTTTGCTGGCCATGTATACTGTGAAACGATATAAATATATAGCCGTCGGCTGAGTTCGGTTGTTGTTGGTGATTATTTGAAAATTGATTTTGTTTGGTCGGCAGTTAATAAATTATTCCTCAGTTCTTGCTTTTTCCGTCCAATGGGGCTTGGAAGCGTGCAATATGCAAAGAAAAGTGAAAACATGGCCCTTCCCTTTTTATTTGTGGGCGGTGAATGGTATTGCTCTGGCTGGCAGCGTCTTGGTAATTCAATTAACGTGTTCAGACCACCCGCTCTGCCCCTTTCCTTTCCTCCTATTTGGCTTTCCAAGCCAAGCAATTTGTTGACCCATATACGAGCATTTTTGTTTGTTGCCAATTAATATTTGTTGTATTCGTGTTTCGTTTTGTGGTTCGAGAGGTGTGCTGCTCATTGGCCTGTGATAAGGCAATATAGGGCTGGTTTTATAATAAATTATTATTTGGTGGCTTATCTGTTTCCAGTGGGCAATTATGTGGCTTCCCATCGTTATCCTTTTAAAAGGGGCAAATGATTTTTTCCCACCTCCAGATAAGGAATTTGAAAGCCTTGCACTTATTCAAAATAATAAAAAGATGGACAAATTCAACCAGTTTTCCCAATTAGAGATTGACAAATAAATACTTATTGGTGGGCAAACAATAGTCAATTTAAAGAACCACATTTTTTGACCCAGCTTTTACAGCATATTCGCTGTATTATTGATATTTATGATCGGTTTCAACTAGTCCGTATTGCAAGTAGTAATTACATATTTAAGCAAAAATTAAATATTGACAGTTTGGGCTATATCGCCCTGTCTTGACTAATGTTTTTGTTTTTTTTTTCGCTTTTATTGCAGCAGCTCCTTTCTATATTCCCAAATGCGTCCCGGGCATTGCGTGATCGCCGGCTTATAGGCTTACATGCGCTAGTTCGTAAAGGACAGTGTCTAGATGTCGTCGAGCAACGGTGGCCTCAGCAGTGCCACCAATGGCCGCAGCGGCAGCACCGGTAGCGCAAACATTAACCTTAGCATCAAGGGGCAGGAGCGAGCTGTTGGAGCCGCACCTGGGACTGGTGCATCTGGTTCCACGGCCACGTCAATTACACATAAAACACTGCCGGACCTGAAGACGCAGAGGAGTAATAGCGCCTGCCACGCCCACGAAGCGCTATCCGCCCTTCGTCGCATCGCGCTGCCAGAGAAGCCTCCCGAAAAACAGATCAGCTATGCCGCGCCCCAAAGCCAGGTCCTGTGCAGAGAGGCTAAGGAGGGCTATCTGGTCTACTCTGACGGACGGCTGCATTCTGGTCCGCTTCAGTCGCTAATCGCTCACATGGTCCCCACCCATGAATACTATCCGGATGATGCCTTTGTTTTTGCCTTTCTCCTTAGCGCCAGGCTATTCGTGCGTCCTCATGAGCTATTGGCGCAGATCTCGCAGACTTGGGAACAGCAGCAGCAGGATACGGGCACCAGTGGAGATATGGTGGACGACGCTGGACAGGCGCCTGGTCGCCCCATTCTTCTCAGTATCAACTCCGCCTCGCCACTGACGCAGCGAAAAGGGTCATCGGCGGTGGCCGCTCCCAGCTCGGAACTGGAGCCGCGACCTCAGCAGCGGACGAGCACTCAGCGCTCTGCTCAGCATTGCATCAGACTTTTGTCGGAGTGGATCGAAATATTTCCGTACGACTTCAGAGATGAGCGCCTGATGCAGCAGGTGCGCATTCTGGCGAGGAAGTGCGTCTTCATTGACAATTCGCTGGGCAAACAAGTTTCTCGAATTCTGCAATTGCTTGTTTCCCGTCTGACGTCACTGGAACAGTACGAAGAGTTTTTGCAGACACTTAGCTCCGAGGAGGCGCAGAGTCAACAACAGCAGCAGCATCACCACCACGGGCACCACCACCATTTGCAAAGTGCCTTTCAGACTTTTTTGGGCACCACTTCGCATGCCAACGGGGCTAGTGGTGGGGGCTCGACGAGCGGCACCTCAAATTCCTCCTCCAGCGGTCACACCTCCTCCGCCTCCACTTCCAACTCGATCTCCACTACACCACAGCCAGACGAAGTGTTCGGCATCATGGACATGTGCTCGAGCTGTGCCAACTTGGCCCACCAGCTGACTGCCATCGAGCTGGAGCGATTGTCGCACATCGGACCGGAAGAGTTTGTTCAAGCTTTTGCTAAGGATTACCAGCAGCAGGCCAAGGAAGGCAACAAGGAGAGTAACAAAGGCAAGAGTAGTGGAGGCGGCAGTGTTTCATTGAACGATATGAAAAAGACACGTAACCTGGAATCGTATGTGCAATGGTTCAATCGGCTCAGCTACTTGACCGCCAGCGAGATTGTCAAGGTGGGTAATCCGTGAAAAATATAAAGAATGAGCTTAGATAATTAACATGTTATTTTTCTCAATGTTTTTTGACCTAAGCAGTACCCTAAGAAAAAACAGCGTGTGCGCATCATAGAGTATTGGATTGAGACAGCCCGCGAGTGCTTTAATATTGGCAACTTTAATAGTCTGATGGCCATAATAGCTGGTCTAAATCTGGCGCCCATAGGCAGACTCAAGAAGACGGTAAGCTAAATGGAGTGCTCACTTTAATTCTGATGTTACTTATGTTTAATATTGATAGTGGGCCAAAGTGCAATCGGCCAAGTTCTCCGTGCTGGAACATCAAATGGATCCAACATCGAACTTCAACAGCTATCGCTCTACTCTGAAAGCAGCGATGTGGCGCTCAGAGGGTGCTACCGAGGAACGCGAACGCATAATCATTCCATTCTTTAGTTTATTTGTTAAGGATTTGTACTTTCTAAACGAGGGCTGTTCCAACCGGTAAGTAGGTCTGGTTGTCTCCGGGACAAAACCACTTATCGCTGTTTCTTAAGCAGGCTCCCGAACAATCATATCAACTTCGAAAAATGCTCCCAGCTGGCCAAACAAGTGATGGAGTTTAACGAGTGGAAGAAAGTTAACTGTCCTTTTGAGAAGCTGCCCAATGTCATAACCTATCTTCAACACAGCGCCGTGCTCAATGAGAACACTCTTTCGATGGCATCCTTTGAGTGTGAACCTCCAGAGAATACAGAGGAGAAGGACCGATACAAGACAGTGAAGGCGGAAACAAAGCAACAACTGCTACAGCAGCTTCAAGAGCAGCAACAGCAGCCGCAGTAACCTCTATGTAGAGGATAGACTAAGCTACGCTTAAGCGCTTGCCATGATTATTTTTTGTACTAGAACCGTAAGTCCGGGAAATTTTTAGTTAAAGATTATGCGAACGAAAATTGCAGAGGGTAAATAAGCCATTAGCCCTTCCTAGGAAAGAAAGCTTATGAAGCTAAAGTCTCCATGTAGTATCTTGTCAATAATTTTTATGTTTACTCTTTTGCCTCCTCTGTGTGTTCCTGTCCTAAATATTCACATATGGGCGGCCGCGGGTCTGTTAAAGAGAGCTTCGAAAAGTTGCCAGTAATTTTATTTATTTATCTAAACGATTAGGAGGATGGAAACAACGAACCAATGTACTTAAAGCCTTATGGCTAACAGCTAATGAAACTAATTAAGTTATTAGCGTGTAATATTTGGTATAATTTGAATCATAACCATGATCAATCCATCTGACAAAGCTGCATGAGTACGCAATTTTCGTACGTGACCAGTATTTATATTTATGTATACAATTTTATAGATAATTGAAATCTTTTTGATATTCCCAAACGATTACATCTGAGTATAATCCGATGCATTTTACGATAATTCTGTCTCGAGGCTTTTCTGCATCTGCAACTTATATCGGCAACTATCAGGCGCTAAATATCAACTCTTTCGTATAATTAAGAAAACCAACAGAACAAGTAGAAAAGATGGTAAAAAGAAGCTTCTTCTCTATAAGAATTTGATTTTTAACAAATTGCAAGATTAAGGGGAGGTTCTTTTCTTTTTTTTTGAAAAAATCGATTTTTTTTTTTTTTTAATAAAATGAAAGTTACATATGTTTAGAATATACGTGCCAAAGGATATTTCGATACGACGCGTATTTCTTGAGCTAGAGCGTGTCAAACATACCCATGTCACATGCGCTGTGGTACGCTCTAAAAACTTTAAACGCGTTTTTCTCGGAACCATGTTTTCAAACCTCTTGTCGCGCACAGGGGTCGTTCTATTGATCCGATTTCCTTCATTCAAAAACTTTTTGAAAGTATATACTTTTTTGTATGCCTTATACCTAAAATTGGCATAAAAAATTGTTTACTTATAATTTCTAAACGAGATCGAAGTAAAAAAAAAAGTCCATTTTTTTTAAATGTCCATAAAATTGGTTTATTTTTACCAAAATTGATTCTAGTTAGGTATAAGGCATAGGAAATTCCATCAATTTTAATAAATAATTTACATTTTTAATTTCGGTTCACTACCAGCGGCCCGACACTCGACAAAGCAGAAAAATAGAGGTCTACGAGATCCGCCATTTTGAAGCCGCCATTTTGAATTTCCTGAATATTGAATTTTTTTTAAATCGTTAATAAACAACGAATCAAAAGTTCAAAAGCATAAGTTCGTATGTCTTTTCATTTTTCCGCAATTAATTCTCAAAGTTTGCTTCATTTTCGAAAAAAAAGAAAAGAACCTCCCCTTAAGTAATATTGTGAATGAAATCATAAATGATATTAACTATAAAGGGACTAAACACAACATAAACGATTAAAAAAATTTCGAATAAAAAACCAGTTCTCATAACAAAATATTGTAGTTTGTATACATAATAATAGAGGAACTATAATTTAAAGTAGACTCATCAAAAATTTATAGCAACATTTTTATTTTTGTCGAATTTTGCATTAATTTCTTAATTCTAACTTCTTAGAAATGTGTAAAAATTATTTTGAAACGAATTTCAAAAGGTCAAGCAAACAGCATGAACGTTTTACTACATCGAAGCTTTTCTCAAATTTTCCTATACAATAACGGGTTTTTTTTTAAGTTCCTTACGTTCGATTTATGGTCTCCATAATCGTCCTGTCAGATCAACAAGTGAAAAAATTTGAATCTTCAGACACGGAACAAAATATTCCCGTACAAGTGAAACAAAGAAGTGTTTATAGTGTCGAGAACATTGCTGCCGATATCGCATCAATTAAGGAAGACCCAAATAGGTCTCTCATACGTCGTTCTCGAGCATTGGGGTTTGGCGATTTGCAAAAAGGTCTGGGCCTACATCCTTACAAGAAGGAATTGACGCAAGAACTGAAAGCGCTAGACCATCAGAATTGTCGTACGTTTAAGAAAAAATTAATTTAAATTTAGGCTGACTGGGCCGTATCTCTTCCGTGACCGTAACCGAACTTTTGTGTTTAAAAATTTTAATTTTTTTGGAGAGCCTTATAGAATCGTTTCAAATGTTTTGTGGTTGAAAAATATTTGATTTAACACATGGCAATTGTAGTAGTCAAATAGTAGTCGAAAGTTTTTACTTATCTATTGATCTAGATCCACAGCAAGGCTAATTAAATAACGTTTCAATGTGTTTTTTGTTGAGCTTGAGTCGACACACAACATAAAATCTTATGACATAAAGTGTTTGGCCATTTAAATAATCACAATTGTGCCTCCTGTACGCTGCGATGATGTTCCTCAGTGCTATAACTGCAATTTAGAATTTGGACATTCTTCAGGAATTCGGACTGACCTCCCAAATGCGCTTTCTTGTTGGGTATGATATTATAGCCAAGCAGCCATCTTAAAAATGCGTAGAGGGACTGATATTTTAAATCGATCACGGCTTCAAAATTATTCCTTACAAGTTTCAAGCTGCTGCTATTACCTTACGGATTTATTATTTAAGCTATTGAATTATATAATGTCTTCTAGTCTGAAAGTTTTAGCTACAGATGGCCCTACTCACTTACTCACTTCACATCAAAAGAAACCCAACCGCAATCGACTTTGCTGTCTGTGAGTCGACTGAACTTGGATCTGATCATTGCCTACAGGTTTTAGTGTTGTGTAACTTTGCTCCAACACAATTAGCAGATCCGAGGTTATTTTCCCGCTGGGTAAACATTGTTGAACATTAAAATTCTGAAATCTTAGTTGTCCGGTGGATGTTGATGCTTCCCTTATTAATTTTACTTAATTGATTAGCTGACAGCCTTTGAAAATGAATGGCATACCGCAGTGATATCCTGCCTTATCTTGTCTGTCTTGTCTTGTCTTCTTTGAGCGGATCCTTTTAAAGTAACTTTTGAGAATCGATTTGTTCAATGTCGACATTACCGATCAGCTTGGCTTCAGGAGTATGAAGGAAGCTGCTAAAGTTCAGCAGCTGAACAAATGCATCGTGTGGTTATCAAATAATTAAAAGCTTTCAAATTGAAAAATGTTGTAAATAGTTTTTCTGGACTTTAAGTTGACCGTGTTTGGAACTGCAGATTACTTCTCAATTTTAAGTCCATTTCTCCTGCACCATACTTTAATCTGCTTCACCTATGCAACGCCATTTGGAAGAAATCAAGTCGATCTAATCAAAAACAACGGCGTGAGAATTTTTTATTTCTTTCTCTATTATGGGAGCTATCCGATATAGTCGGCCGATCCGGCCCGTTCCGACTTATATATTGCGAGCAATAACTACACACCTTTTGGGAAAGTTTCAGCAAGATAGCTTTAAAACTGAGAGACTAGTTTGGCAGAAACAGACAGGAGGACAGACGGACAGACGTACAGACGTACAGACGTACTGCGTTGCAAACTTCTGGCCAAAATTATAATACCCTTTGCTCCGTAAGGGTATAATGAATAGAAAAATCCACATAGCTCCGATTTTGTTTAGCCTTTATGTATTGTAACGAACTGCTTTTTTATCTTTGCTCGGCTACGTAAACGCGCGGCTAGCTCAGCTGAGTTTATGTGTTCGTCCCACCAAATTTATTCTTGCGTGATCCCGATCAAGAAGTAATGGGTTGGATTTAGCAATAGGGAGATTGGTTTATTGGTTCTCGATTTATAGAGTTGATTCGATCAACGATATCGCCCTCGTTGACGCCGGTAATAACTCCCGCGTCGACTCCTGCGGCGGCACGCCCATCTCGCGTCCTCTGCCTTACCGAGTCTTTTGGGTACCGGTCGCGTAATAGGGTCGCTACTAGTATCTCACAACTTGGAGGATGTTTAACAGAACCTCCCTAGCGGGGCTAAGCAGCGATGCCTGCAGTCACCACTCTTCGCTCCACCCCGGAGTTCGGTCGGGACTTCGTCGGCCTGGCCCTCGGCAGGTTCTCACTTTCGTGTAGACCGACACCGGGTACCTTTCGCACAACTCCACTGGATCTTCGTCGGCCTGGCCCTCGACAGGTCCTCACTCTCGTGTGAACCGACGCAGGGTACCTTTCGCACAATATCCACTGCTTTGGAGTCCACCATCGTCGTCGGTCTTGAGACTCGTAGACGCGCCCTACAACTTACCTTGCACCATCTGGATCTCACCTTGGCAGACTCAGCTTATGTGGACGTGACTGGGCTTCTTGACTCGGCGATCTTGATCCGGATATGTTGGCACAAAGTCCGTGGATTCATCGTTTGACCTCGATGCCCTTGCCGACTGGGGTCCAAGGTCCAGAGCGGTACCGATATTTCCCTTTTGGTACCCGCTCTTCCGCATGCAGCTTCTACCGCTGTTGCTATGCGGAGTTTACCCTGCACCTGCAGGGTATATAAGCTTCGGCTTGCCGAAGCTAGCATCCTTTCTTGTTTTTTTTATCAGACAAGCATGGTTTTTAGAATATATTCAAAAAATCATGATTTTCTGATGAGAAATAACGATGTTATCATTTCATTTCCGTTAATTCTATATAGATTTTTCGATCTTTTCTATGGCACCTATGTATATGACTTTTCCATATTTTTGACTATTGCTCATATGGCAGCTATATGATATAGTCGTCCGATTTTGATGAAATTTTATTTGTTATTCAAGAGTCGTTAGAAAACTCTATATTCCAAAAATCATGATTTTCTGATGAGAAATAACGATGTTATCATTTTATTTCCGTTAATTCTATATAGATTTTTCGATCTTTCCTATGGCAGCTATATGGTATAGTTGTCCGATTTTTATGAAATTTTTTTATAAATTAAGGCTAGTTAAAAAACTTGATACTCAAAAAATCATAGTCGTGTGATGAAAAACAATGACATTATAAATTAATTTCCATTAATTCTATATATTTTTTGATCTCTCCTATGGCAGCTATATGATAGAGTTATCCGATTTCGATAAAATTTAAACCGAAATTCCATAGTAGTTATAAAACGCCATCTTGAAGAAATCAAGTCGATCTGATCAAAAACAACGGAGTGAGATTTTTTTTTTTAATCTCTCGTATGGGAGCTATCCGATATAGTCGGCCGATCCGGCCCGTTCCGGCTTACATATATACCGCGTGCAATAACTATACAACTTATGGGAAAGTTTCAGCAAGATAGCTTTAAAACTAAGAGACTAGTTTGAAGAGAAACGGACAGACAGACAGACAGACGGACGGACAGACAGACAGACGTACAGACGGATTTCGATTCAGATCGTGATGCTGATCAAGAATGTATATACATACTTTATAGGGTCTAAGGTGTCTCCTACACTGCGTTACAAACTTCTGACTGAAATTATAATACCCGAAAACGTTATTTTGAAAGTCGGTGAACATCAGAACTCGTAATCTACTGAACCGATCCTTTTCAAATTTTTAACACAAAGGCTCCATATAAATACACACGTAATCGCACTTTTCACTTCCAAGTGCTATAATCATATAGCTGCCATGGGATAGATCGAAAAATATACATATATATAAATAATGGAAAAAAAAATTATAACGTCGTTGTTTTTAATCCCACGAGCATGATTTTCAAAATATGGATTTTTTTTAATAACCCTTGAATTGAGAAAAAAATTTCATTAAAATCTGACAACGTTGTTATATAGCTGCCATAGGAAAGATCGAAAAATCTATATAGAAATTACGTAAACTAAATTATAACATCGTCGTTTTTCATCAGAATGGTATTGGAATATAGAATTTTTTATCAACTCTTGAAATACGAATTAAACAATAGTCGTAAATTTGAAAAATTTACAAAAAAGTCGTCATAGCTTCGATGATGTTTAGCCTTTATGCATTTTTATCGACATATTTGATGACTGCAAGGGTATATAAGCTTCGGCTTGCCGAAGCTAGCTTCCTTCTTGTTATAATTATTTTGTTACATGAACATGAATTTTCGAAACATACAGTGTAAGTCAATAACGATTTTGCGCCTCTTAGATTTGGCGCCCGGGGCCCTTGCCCCTTTCGCCCCCCCGCCCCCCTAGATCCGCCACTGGTTCTCTGCATGCGTAAAATGATCTGAAACGGGCCCACGCGAAAAACAGACAGCCACATAGTTTCGTGAAAAATTAAGACGATTAAAGTTGTAAGTATGTATGTACTACATAAAGTTTATTATATTCTGTAAATATTTTCTCCGCGATTATCCGCACATAAATATGTTAGTATTGTTTCCATTGCATAGTTCATTTTGAGTTTAAGATTTTGCTCCAAATCATTAGGTTTACGAAATCATAAAATGATTAAGTTCTTCTTGTTCACTAAAATATTGGTTTGAGATGGCTAATAAAAACACAACGAAGAAAGTTTACTTGTTTCTAGGCTGAGGGGAATGTACAAAATATTTCCGCAATGTGGGTCTATGTTTGGTATTTATCTAAATATATAATCTTAAAGCTTACATTTAATAGCACAGATAGATATAGTATTTTTTTAGTTTAAGCTTTTTAATAAATATATTACTAATATGCAAGTTTGCCATCAGTTTGTACATTCCATTTAACCGAACTATATAAACTAAACTATAATTTAATAGACTTTTAAATTAGGCAACTTATATTTTGGAGCAAGGAATTGAGCCAGCATTATTAGACATTTACACTTACAGACATACATAAAATACGGGGCTCACATACCATTTATAGACGGGTAATGAATATTTCTGTGGCTAAGATTGTTTTTTTTTTATCATCAATAACTATAAAATATAATTTACTTACTCAAAACATTATTGATATTTTTTCATAATGGTAAGATATTATATAAGTAGATTTTAAACTACAAATTTCCGTATTTTTCCTTTGTTCAAAAGACGGGACCGAGTAGTGTGGTTTAAATTCCATAAATTATTTTATACCTGTTTTGACTAATATATTCATATGATTTGGTGCAATTTATTTAATCCATCAGACATTCATGTTCTTGTCACTGTTAATAAATACCCTTAATTGTCTAATTATTGTTACCATTGTGGATGAGATGTGAATGTATGTATGTTGTGTACGTTTGTGTGTAGTTGTGTTCTTTAGGTATGCCTTGATGCGTGGGGTATTATAATAAGACTTTGATTGCTTGCTCCGTTGAACGAGCTTTTTCTATTAGATATACTTTTGTTTTTATTTTTTTGCGATTTTTCATTTTTTTGTGATTTTTTTTTGCCTTGATATATGAGAGTGCGTCTCTGTCGAGCTCAGACTGATCTTAATGTGTGTGATTAAATAAAATTTTCTTGATTGGTCCATTAATTGCCATTAAAAGCGCGAGAATATTTGCATTCAACAAAATTGTGAAATATACATGGAAATTGTATTTATGGTTGCTCGAAAACAATCCACTGAATATGTGATATGCTCCCAGTGCACCTGTGAAATCTTTTCTACATGTGAAATTTTTCATGAGTGTTGGCTTCTGAGCTGTTATGATATGAATTAAATGTCAATGATATTTTGAGAGGTTAATAATACGGTTGAAACAACTCTTTGTATTCTATTGAAATTTATCCATTTATCTTTTTTATTATTCAAAATGCATTAATTGACTATTAAGGTGCATACTGTTGATTTTTAACTTTGAGTCTAAATAATTATGTCAATTCGTATTCAAATATTTCGTACTTTCTTGTTTATAGTTTTCATTGGTTTTTAATATATTAGTGAAACTTAATTGTTGAGCTTTACCATTAAAATCAAACATATGACTGTTAATTGATGTGTTGCATTCGGCTTAGTGCACTCTGTTATAATAGATAGCAAATCCTAAGCCAAACCACGTGAACTATGAGAAAGCATAATATTTTTCAAAAGTATAAGTTCTTCAATAAACTTAAAATACCTTAGCTTATATAATCTTTTTTGGATCTTCACTCTCCACTTGATGTTTATATAGAGGTGATTATGTCAGAACTATTGTTTTTGCCAACGCGCTAGATTTTTGATTTGCGGTAACTTTACGCAAATTTATTGTTTGCTTTTAAGTACCGAATAAATTATTTATTAATTTTACCAAAAAAAAACCATGTTTTATTTCACTACGCCTTGCTTTACTTTGTCCTTGCCATGCCCTCCTCTTATCCATTTTATTTCATACATGTTGTCGAGACCCGGATGCATCTTCGTTAGCCTCTTGCATTTTATCGGATCCGCAAAACCGAGTACTTGAACTGTGTTCTGGCTGCATCACTGGGAGAAAAGAGGTAAGATATATCTGAAATTTAAGATTCCATTTTAGGATCACAGTTTGCAAACAGTTTAAGTTTTATTTTTCAAAATTAAAATATGTGGGCCACAAGCTGAGATGCAAAGTAACATAAATTCAAAAATTGCATTTTTACCACTTATGGGATCATCTGGTTTGTGCTTAAAATAATATCACAACAAACTGTTTTCCGACATTTTTATAGGTTATTAAACACTTTAAATTGGCTTAACTTTTGTAAGAAGCATTACAGAATAAAGAAAACCTAAAGAATAAATGGAAATATAAACTTCATGAAGATGTAGCCTTGAAGCCAATTGGAGAATCTAATACATTTTTTGCGCTTGACGCTGAGATATCAATAGTTTCGGAAGCTTTTTTGATAACGTAAAGCAGTTGTAAAATGTTTTACAAAGCTACGAAAAAATAATATTTCTACACAAAAATTGTCTACTTACATAATAAACACAATAAAGTACATTTAAAAGAAATACATTTTTTTAAATTATAAAACAATGCAAACATTACAGAGAGCGAGGATCAAACCTGGAAGCTTACGTCAAATTTATGAAAATTCCTGCTAGGCTTAACCTGTTCGGTTCCCGCCATTGTCGATAAATTGGTTACTGTTTTTCGAGTCAAATGTTAAAGTAAACACACACATCGCTGCTCCCTTGCTTTTGTTCCGGCCTTTGCTGCATTTCGCCGCACTCCTTGCTTGTTTTGGCATAGTTTTCCTTTTTTTTTGGGTTTTTTTTGTTAAGTTATATAATTTACTCGGCTTTGGGGTGCAAATCTTCTCTAGCGCTTGCGTTTTGTCATACAAAGTCCAGCTCGGAGCGGGTGCTGTACATCTTGCGCTCCATGGTGCGCTCAAACCATTTCTTTATCTCGGAGACGACCAGCACGGAGGAGGTGAGAGAGACTAAAAAGAATATGTCGTATGGCGTAAGAGCTTCTGTCTGAAAGACCATCTGCAGCGGCGGAAAGTATACGACCAACATTTGACCAATGATCGAGAAGGCGACGGCCAGCAGGAACATGCGGTTGGTGGTAAGTCCGATCGTAAACACACTTTTCGTCTGCGAGCGGCAGGAGAGCGCGTTGAACATGTCGAAGAATACGAAGCAAGTAAAGGTCATGGTCGTGTCCCGCTTGGTCTTCCCCAGGGTCCCGTCGGCCATCTCGCGTTGGAACACCCACAGTGTGCCCAGCACTATAATGCTGGCGCTGAGCAGGACGTTCACCACCACAGACTTGGTGATCATCGGCTGCTTAACGTTGCGCGGCTTCTGCTTGAGCACGTCATGGTCCACAGGTTCCACGCCAAGCGACTGTGCGGGCGGACCGTCCATTATGATGTTGATCCACAGAATCTGCATGGCGTTCAGCGGGTTGGCAATGTCCATCAGGGTGGCCAGGGCAATTAGGGCCAGGGCGGCTATGGATGTGCTCAGCTGGAAGCGCACGAAGTTCCGGATGTTGTAGAAGATTCCTTTGCCCTCCTCGATGGCAGCGCTGCAAGCAATCGGGTTAATCAGAGGAGAGCTAATGACAGCCACAAACTCTACTCACATGATGGTGTGGAAATCGTCGTTGACCAGAATCATGTCCGCAGCCTCCTTGCACACGTCTGTCCCGTTTTTGCCCATGGCAATGCCGATGTCCGCCTTCTTCAGAGCGACTCCGTCGTTGACTCCGTCCCCAGTCATTCCTACTATGTTCCCGGTGCGCTGCAGGGACTTAACTATCTCCAGCTTGTGTCTCGGCGATACGCGGTAGAAGACACTCACGTTGTTCGCCACCTTATCCAGTTGGTGTTCGTTCATTTGATCGATTTCCTGACCGGACAGCGTCTGGTGGTGTATTGTGTCGATGCCGATGAGATTCGCTGGAAGCACGGAAAACAAATCTGGTTAAAAGTAGAAAGACCAATGCGAAATGCCTAGCATTACTCAATAGACACAAAGCCAGAGGTAGGTACTGATGGAAGGGGCGGTAGCACTCAAGTTACGAACGAGCGCCTCCCTCCGTCCTTGAGACCGCTTCCAATGCCTTGTAATCCGTTCTCACCTGGCCCGCGCCCCTTTGCCATGCCAAGCAGTCAAGTAAATCGCCTTTTATTGCATTTTCCAAGCAATTGGCGCTAAACTACATCCAGCAACAGGCAAATGGAGCCGTCTGAAGTGCTGTAAGCGCCGGGGAGCCAGGCTGGCAGCGGCGTGTGTGTCGGCACAGCTTGAATCTTAACCCCCAAAGAAAATGCAAAAACAATTGTTAATTTGTTGGGTGAGCTGCCAAAGCGCTGTTCGCTCCTTGAAATTCAATTGGAACCCAAGCAATAAAGTTGGCAAACTTTGGAAAGACGACCCGATCCCCTTTACCATTTCCTGCCTCCTTTCTTTTTGCACTCGAGCGCATTTATGAAGTGCGCACAATGGGGCAGCAGCTGTGCGAGACAGGAGCAACAACAATGGCTTCAAGGGAACTTCGGCGAAAAGTCGCGTCGCCATTTCTCATTATGGCGCCCGCGTATTTGTCCTGCGAGGCAGCGAGCACCCCGCTTTTCCTATACCAGTGCTCGTCCTGTTTGTACAAAATTTTAGTCAGAGTGCACTGAAGTAAATAATAACAAACTGCAACAAAAGCAACAGAACGGGCGCCCAGAACGGTGCGCAGCAAAATGTGCAAGAGAAGACGTAATTAAAACGCATTCAGCGAATTGAATCCCCACTCGCTAGGTTCCCAGACAATTAAAAGCAGCCCGCCATCGGTCTGCTGTAGAAAATTACAGGGGTGGCCTGTTGGCTCGGCGCTATCCACCATTTTCTTCTTATTGTGGTCTCTAAGGGAATGTTTCATTTTGCTATTATTCTCCTGGTCTTTTCCCGGTCTCCAGGCCAAATACTGAAGCCAGTAGCCTGCAAACGCGGTCGCCTTGGTGCCAATCTGAGCCATTATCTTGGCCAAGTTGCAATTTGCCTGGCAGAAGGTTTGCTAGTCGGTCTTTTTAGTCATTTCCGTCTGGCCTCGCTATCTGAGCTAGGTATGCTAAGATACTGTGTCACTTTCGCAATAACATTTAAGAGTGATTTTAAGAAAGGAATTGTTCCACAGGTATACACAACATTTTTCATATTCCGCCATCCGCACTCTTTAGATTACAACTGGCCGTGCAATATTAAAATTGATTTAAAATTCCATTTGCGATGGCACACATAAACATCTGTGTCAAAGCATAGCAGATACGGCATTGACCGCAAAAACGAATCATCTGTTTTCAATTTTCACAGCGGCAGGGTCAATTGCCTGGACGACATAGGGCATACGGGCTTCAGCGGATGTGGCCATAGTTCACCTGCCGTCTATGTCAAGAAGAACTGCAATTGCCAGACGCTTTTCAATTTCTGCCGATGACAGCAGAACGTCTGGCTGGCCGGAAACATTTATTGGCACTGCATAAAAATTCGATGCAGTCGACTACTCAGGAAAAAAACCCATTCAAAACGCGTTATTTTAACACAATGTTTTCTAGTTTGTTTTCGTTTTTTCCCCGTGTGAAAATGAATCGTTGACTGAACAATACTCTCTGACATTGGTAACGATTTAGACGAGCTCCAAAGATGAATGCCTTAGGTGGCATTCAGTTATTTGCAAGCTACACATTTTTAATAAGCTAAAGAATTATTTTAAACTTTGATTTAAACTTGTTATTGTGTCCCTTAACTACAACAAAGTGCACAGCATAATAAAGGAAGTTTTAACGCCCTAGTTTATTATTATTATTGATTAATGCATTTTCCGATGGCAATTCAAAGCTACAGAATATGACCGGAAACTTATTTGTATAATTCTTTTCCACCAAAAACGATAACGTTTCTATAAACTTTTTGGTGACTATCAAAAATAATAAAACATGGAAAACTTTTTTTTTACCTGATAAGCATAACATGTTCCTGACTTTTCATTTGCCGCAGAAAAGAAAATCATAAGCTGCTAGCCAAAAGCGGATTAGGCAGAATCTTGAATGCACCCGAAAGCAAAAGGTTTATTTCGTTGCAGAAAAGTTTATGAAAATGTCATGCGCCTCAAACTGTGCAACAAGCATTTTGTTTACCACTTGAGCAGCCGCTTTGAGAACTTAGCCAACCAGGTCAACCCCGTGCAGGGAATCGGAGAGTACAGAGGTACTAAGCGGAATGAGCAGGGAAAATCAAAGTAAAATTGTGCAAAGAAAGAAAAAAAACAGTCTCTGAACAAGGAAAAGCAAGGTCTCATTTGGTAATTGAAAGCTTCGCTCGGGTCACGAACCCGTTAAGAAAGTTTTCTCTACGAGTGACATTTGCATCTGCACTGCCAGATATCGACACTGCAAGCAAGATGATAGACCGAGCGCCCCACTTCTTTAGTTTGTCAGGACGGTTGTATACGTGACAAATTCATTCGACTGGTTGTGGATTCATCTCTGCTCGGCTTGCTCCGACACACGACAATGTACATGATTATTTTCGAAAAGGATTCACTTGCAATCAGCAGTCAGGATTGCTCCGCCGGTTTCAGAGATTGTTTCGAAACGCACTTCGCTAATTGAAGGAGTGGCACGCTAGGGAAAATTTTAATGATTAAGAAGTGTATGCGAAAGTGTGACAGAAGAGCGAAGAGGTTAACATCCAAGTGGAGAGCATATTGAATCGTTTAGAATCTTTACTGAATTAACAGTATACAATTATTGAACTCTTTTCAAAGGTTTTAGCTGCATAACAATTTAATGTAAGCATTGCTTTAGAAAAGAAAAGTTCATTAACGTTTTATAAACGTTAATCTATACTAACCGGTTTGGATTCTTTGTTCATAATGATTAGCTTTCTGTCGAAATTCAGATAAGCTTAAACAGTAAAAACAAAAAAGGCGAAACATGACGAAAATACTCTCAGACCACCGAAAGATTAGGATTTCCTCATGCAAATAATCTAAAAAAAATTGGCTACCTAAAAGGACATTCATGGTTTTAGCATCTGCGGTTGTGGAAGCGTAAGGAATGGTAGATTAGCCGCCCGTCTAGGAATCATACAAGCAGATTGCAGAAATAGGAAAAAAGACAAAAGCTTAACGTTGATCAATCTAGGCGCAAAGGCAAAATTAAACTTTTTAAGTAAAATTTCAGAGATAGGGTCGATTGTATTGATTTTTCTCTGAAGATCCCATTCCCAGCCCTCTTTCAATGCAGATGATGAATTCCTGTCGGCCGCAGATGCGCAAATGATGAGCCCAACGTTGACGAGGCTGGGTCTGTGGTAAATGTGCTGGGGATGCGAAAAGATGAGGGTCGAAGTTAATTATTTCTGACTGCTGACGACGATGGCGATGCTGCCTTTTGTTATTTACTTCTTCCTGTTTCTCAGGATGTTCGATGTGGGCCGCCTGCTTCACCATGGAACCCAAAAGGAGCCAGCTACCTGAGTCTGGCTCCCCTTCTCAGTTTTCCACTGTCGACGGACTTCTGTGCTTTGTGCGCGCTATCTTTTTCAACTTGGTAAGCAAGCTTTGAATTTTCCCGGTCCTTGTTCATCAAGCTAATATTTTGTAAGGCCCATTGAACTCGACAAGTTAAACATTTAAATCTTTGCTATTAGATTTGATCAACTCTTTATTAGAAATGTGTCCCGGGTCAAGACGGATAACAATTTCAGGAAACATAAATTGCAACTCTAAGTGGAAAACTTGGCAATTCAACCCACACTTGCAAACGACCCTTAACTGAATTGCCAATGACCTATGGTTAATTAATTCTGTTTAACTGGTGAGCACTTGTCCCAATCCCTTAAGCAGAGCTCCTTACTTGCACATACATATGTCTCGCGCAATGATGGAGTTCGGAGCTCATACGTCCGCTGGGAAATACTCGATTTTTCTCTTAAGTAAGTTATAGTTTGTCAAGGGGAATTGGTGGGAATCAATCTCCAGCCTTGGCACTTTTAAATGTGCGGCCGGACAAATTTAATTGCACAGTTTCCGGTGTTTAAGCATAAAAGTTAAGAACCACAATTGCGGATTGTTTGGCTCGACTAAGAAGCCGCTTAAATTAAGTTTTGGGTCCACCTTGTCAGCGTCTACATTGTCAGCGGGGATAACCAAACAGGGAAAATGTCAAGCACCTGTTTAAGCTCTTAGTTGGCTAAAGTGATTCTCGCTACAAAAGCCCCACAAATGCCCCAATTACTCACCAATGGCCAAGGCCGTTTCCTGGGCATCTCCAGTCACCATCTTTACTCGCACTCCGCTCTGCATAAGCATCTCGATGGATTCGCGCACAAGGGGCCTCGGTGGGTCAGTGATGCCGACCAAACCGCAGTAGACCAGGTCCTGCATTGAGCGGCCCTTGGCTAGCGCCAGCACCCTGAGACCCTTGCGTCCGATCTCGTATGCCTCGGCTAGGAACTCGGCCTCGTTCTGCTTGGTCAGTGGCACTGTCTGGGTGCCGAACTGGTACTTGGTGCACTGGGGCAGCAGCGTCTCCAGCGCCCCCTTGGCGAAGAAAATCTCCTCCTTATTGTTGTTGTATTTGTGGATGCACTTGACGGCCATCATTTTCTGCTCCGAGCTAAAGGGGTACTCCTGGATGCGGACGTAGTTCTCGGCTGTGGCGTACATGCCGTTTTTCATAGCCACTGCTACGAGGGCTCCCTCGGTGGGCTGGCCAAGCAGCGTGCCGTTTTGGATATAGGCGTTGTTGCAGACCGCCCCAATCTCCAGGAGGTTGGTTATGTTGGTCTTGGCCATTTCCACGTTGTTGCAGTGTCGGATGTGGATTTCCCCCTGGTCGTTGTACCCGGCGCCGGTCACATCCGCCATGTACCCGTCGGAAGTGATGATGATCGTGGCCGTCATCTCGTTCTTGGTCAAAGTGCCCGTCTTGTCAGAGCAGATCACGTTCACACAGCCCAGTGTCTCAACAGTGGGCAGTTTTTTCACGATGGAGTTGCGCTTTGCCATCCGCATTACGCCAAGTGCTAGAGTGACGGTTACCACGATGGGCAGACCCTCTGGAATGGCCGCCACGGCTAGCGAGACACTGATGTTGAACATCTCCGAGAGCGGCTTGCCTTGCAGCCAGCCCAACAGCATGATGACGCCGATAATTAAGAATGAGTAGAAGCTCAACTGGGCGCCCAGGATGTCCATCGACTTCTGCAGCGGCGTCTTCGGAGCCTCCTCCGCCTGCATCATCTTGAAGACCTCGCCGAACTCGCTTCGCTCCCCAGTGCTGACAACAATGCCCTTGCCGTTGCCACACCGCACCAGAGTGCCCATGAAAGCAATGTTCTTCATGTTGCTGTGATCCTTCACGTTCGTGTTGTTCAGCAGGACGTCCGTAACCTTTCGCGCCGGCTCCGTCTCGCCGGTGAAGCTGCTTTCGTCGATAGACAGGTCGACGGCCTCGAAGAGGCGCACGTCGGCGGGCACCCGGTCGCCCACGTTCAGGTGCACGATGTCTCCGGGAACTAGTTCGCGTGCCAGGAAAGTGTCCAGACGACCCTCGCGCAGGCAGTGGCACTCGGGAGGCACCAGCTTCTTCAGCTCCTCCAGGCTCTTCTCCGAGCGGTACTCCTGGATGAAGGCCACGGTGACCACGATGAGGATGGCGATGGTTATGCTCACGGCGTCATCAAACTGCTTCATGATCACGGACACCAGCGCCGAACCCAATAGCAGAAGGATAAGCGGGTTCTTAAACTGCTCAATGTACTTTTTCCAGGTGGGCTCTTCTGCGACGAGCAGTAGCTCGTTGTGCCCAATGATCTTGGCACGGTACTTGGCCTCCGTCCATTTGAGGCCGGTCCGCACGTCGACTTGCAGTCGTCCGGCGACCTCGGAGGCGCTGTGGGTCGATGACTCCGAGGTGGATAACAACATTTCGGGTGTGAGGGTAAGGCCCGTCTGCGAAAAGAGAAAAGGATTCCTCAGTATTTTGAAGCTGTTAAGTGCATTGGTATAATATTTTATCATAACTAATTTAAGTTACCACTGGTTGTGCGCATGCAAGGAAATCACCAAGTGATACATGCAAATCAGTTCAATTTTTATTGGTCATGGGAAGACTTTCTGTTGATACCGCTTAAGTATCTACATCTCTTTAAAATAGATTGTTTTGATCGATACGATACAACTATCAGTAATATATATATTTATACAAGTTTATCACATATCACCAAATATCAAAACGAACTTTGGCAGCATATAAACGTTTCAAATGCAAAAACAATTCAACAAAAATCGGAGGACTATCATACAGCCATGGCAGCTATATGATAGAGTTATACAATTTTGATAAAATTTAATCCGAAATGCAATAGTAGTTAGCACACGCCATCTGGAAGAAAGTCGATCTGATCAAAAACAACGGAGTAGGAATTTTTTATTTCATTCTCTCGTATGGAAGCTATCCGATATAGCCGGCCGATCCGGCCCGTTCCGATCTATATACTGCGTGCATTAACTACACAACTTTTGGGAAAGTTTCAGCAAGATAGTTTTAAAACTGAGAGTCTAGTTTTCGTAGAAACAGACGGGAGGACAGATGGACAGACGTACAGACGTATTTCGATTCAGATCGTGATGCTAATCAATAATATCTATACTTTATGGGGTCTGAGGTGTCTCCTTCACTGCGTTGCAAACTTCTGACTGAAATTATAATACCCTATGCTCTGCAAGGGTATAATTAGACAAAGTGTGGCAAAAAAAATTGGTGCAAGGAAAATGGATTACGAAGATAGGTTGAAAAGTGTATCATTAAAATAATTATTTTATTTTGTGTTACATTTTAAAATTTAAAAAAAAATTGGGGAAATATAACAATTTGAAGCCTTGCAAACCTTATAAGAACCCAATTTCTTGTATTATCTGAATGATCGCAAGTAAAATCGGCGGCCCAAAGGCCACAAAAAAGTCTAATGCTGTAGACTATAAATATCTCCATCTCAATCCATGAGAGAAGATAAGACTAGCTAACGCTGGGAACCGTTCACACACGTGATGGGCTTACGGTTTTGCAGCGTTTTTTGGTTTTTATTGGACAGCAGTAAACATTGGCGGCTTGTCTGGTTGAGCCCACCCATACACCATTCATCCCAACCAGAGGCGGTAATGTTCTCGTTTCGGTTTGTGTATTCAAATGCGGAAAACAGAAACTGGCTCACAGTTGTTGCTTTTTCAAAAGTAAGCAAATAGTTAGGTCTTTGTAAAGTGGGATTGTGCACTTGAAAGCGATGGCGATGGGCAAACATCTAAAAAAAATGGTTGCCAAACGTGATTGGCATATTATTATGGGGTTTCGATGGTCGAGACTTTGCTGCCTTTAAAATCCAGTGAATAATGGGCGAAAAGGTAATACCTCTCCCAAGCACAGCAACAATGATTCCCACTTTGCCCATATCTCGGAGCGATGTAATCGCACAGCGTGAAATTAGCGGCAGTCCGAGAATACCAGGCAGTCCCTTTCCGGAAAACCGGATAGACTCCATCTGCTTAGAGGGGGCTTTCGCATTACATAAGCCCGACTTAACTAATTTGCAACCCAGTCCTCGGCCTTACATTCCAACAAGTCGGGTAAACTAGCCTTGCAAAGGTTTAATGCGAACTTCACCGACAAACCAGCACGTGGAATTTCCCGGCATAACTAGAAGGTGATTCTAAACCAGAGACTTACAAAACGATTGTATATTACTAAGTACCTGCTCCTCAATTAAAATACTAATGGCACGCCTAGCTCTGAGCATCTTTCAGGGCTTCTGTAAGGAGAGGAACTAGTAAACGTTAGCAGAAATATCTGCGGACAGCCACATGGCGATCGGTAAACACTTAAAAACAAACCACAACCTCCAAACCACCAAATGTGCACAAAAGTACAAACATCTACTTGTCAGTTAGTGGGACCACTTACGTCTGAGGCATTGATGACTATCATTTTGGTGAATCAGAAAAATCGGCGACGGGACGAATTCTTATCATTAGTAAGAGAGTGGATCCCCTCCGCCCTTTCGCCACTCCTCTTTCTGGAATACACGCCAAACAATTCAGGGCCTGGATAGAGCTTGTTTTGCCTGAACGGTCACGCAAGAGATGCGAGCATGAATATTAAAGTTTGGCTGCCACAAATGTCCCTCCGCACATGGTACGTGCGCTTAGATCGTCAATGGGGCTTTTCGGAGCGAGTGGTTCCGGGATGACAGCTTGGGATCGCCCAGTTCGGTGTCACCCAGTGTGAGTACGCATAGTCGGGAATCGTTATCTCTGCTTGCGGCACTCTGACAAGCAATTCAAAAAGCTATCGAATGGCGAATCTGATAAAAAAACAACAATAATCGAGAAACGCAATCAGGCGACGTGGGTCATTGGCAGCTCTAGATGCCCCATTTAGCTTTTTTTGATTTTCGGTGAAGAAGTTTAATTTTTACAGGTAACCTAGTCCCAGGGCGCCGACTTATTGTACAGTGGACATTGGTTTTCAAACGATGCCACGTTTGTTTTTTGTTATAAGCACGGTTTTTGATTTAAAACTTTTAAATTTTCATTTCTAGTTTACCCCAAAGTCAAATTTGAAATTGAGTTTTGTTTTTAAATATTTCAGTTGAAAAACCATATAATTATGTATACCTCTAGAAACTCTGAAATGATATATTTTTGCTTTTAGAAACATAGCAATAAAATGTTTTAAAATACCCCCTCTTAAGTTTCGAGTGCGAGTAAAAGCATTTAACCAGAGTCCACTGTACCGAAGTCGCGACAGAAGAAAAGGTATGTGCGCCATCGTTCGGCGAAGAGTTCTGGAGAACAGTGGGCAAGTTTTTTCAGCTTGTTAGAAAATCGATAACGTGGCCTAGTCATCGGGGACGGATGCTTGGTATGTGGATCAATTTACTAGGGGTCAAGCCGGTGCTTTCGAATTTGGTGTTTCCGCACTGAACACATTCACTGGTACCGAGATCTGCGATCGCACAGAGCTACTTTCTCATTGGGAGTTTGGGTTACGACTAAACAAGCAGTTATCGGTGCAGGTTGTTAGGAAAATTAATTGATTGAAAGGTGGAGGTGGGAGTGGGGTAGGCTGGGAATAAGTGGGTGGATGGGAGCATCGTGACAAAAGACAACGAAAGCAGCAGAGATGGGAGCAGGTGAAAGAAGGCGGCAAATAAAATAAAAAACAAGCGACAATCACGACACAACAACAACAACAGCACAAACAATTTCCAAGAGAGCGGGAGAGAGACGCAGACACACACAGCGGACGAGAGCAGCGGCCGATCTGTTTCAACTCACGCGACAACTGGCGGGGGGCGAGGGATTTAATTAATTGTGTCACATGGAACACCGATTGTATTGATTCACAAAAAACGTTTTGTTTGTTTCACTTGATTGTTTTCCGATATTTTTGTGAGCAGACACGCGCAACGCAGCAAAAATGCAAAAGATGATCCGACCACATTACAGTGATCGAGCGACGTGTACAGAGTCAGACAGAGAGACCCCGGAACCAGAACGAGAGGGCACTACTAACAGCACGGATGGTGCTGTTAGAGCGCAAGCCAAAAGCTTTAGAAGAGTAAGAGAGCTGTTCTCAATGCCGCAGAGATTCCAATCAGAGAGAAGTCCATGCTATGTGCTGGATTCATGTGGATGTGTGGGTCAAGTTCAGATTGGAGTTGGGAACGTGTCGTGCTTTCTATTGTGCGTTTCAAGCACGAAATTGAAATTGAATTACTTTTATTTTGTTTTATTTGATTGTTTTACATTCATTTGAAGTTCCATTTTTGATTTATTTATTTTTATTATTATTATCAACTTGCTGCTTTTATACATAAGCTCATAACTATGTATGTACATACATAAATATGTAAAAACTATATTTTTTTTTTTTTTTGTAATACCATTTTGTTTATTCAATTTTCGAATATGGATACTGTGATGCTGATTAGATTCCACAGGCCAGTAAAGTGGGATAATGTGGAAGTATTGGCGGTTTCGTTTACAATTGTTTCGCCACTGCTAATTACTCAATTACATGAAGCGGCTATCTGCAGCGATCGCTTTTTGGGAAAATTTGTTCATTGTGTCGACGGTGTCCTCCAATTATCATATGCAAATTTTATATGCTAGAATTTCGTGATCGCTAGTCCATTAGCACCCTTTACAATGTTTGGGAACCCGCCACAACAACAATAGCCTTGCATTTTTAGAGACCTCTGGTCCGCGTGACTTATACTACATTGTATAAACAGCAGTTTGTGAAAAAAATTGCATATTTGTTTCTGATAAAAATGTATTTTGGAAACATAAATTTTTGCTTTGTCATGAGAACCCCTTTCTATCTCTTCGATGGGCCATCAGTGGCGTAACTACCGGTGTTCCATGTGTTCCATGAACACAGGCCCCCGAGCTTTGGTCCCTCCCGTCACCGAACACAAGTTTTTCTGACGTAGTTACACCACTGTGGGCCATTGTGGATTTTTCCTAATAAGTTTTAAAGTTGGGCACTTTTTGGGTAAAAGAGTCTTTAAATCGTGTAAAAATTGTTTCGTTTAGTGCTATATTCTACAAGATATTATTAATTTTTGTTTTATTTTGGACTTCGACCGTAAGACATTTTCAACGGAGTCCGGATAACATACACCTACATGTTTCTAACCAAGCCGTAAACCAACTCTATTTAAAATACATATGTTGTTTTTAATTTTTTCATTTTTTTGTTTTTGGTTTTTTTATTTTTTTAAATAATATTGCAATGCACTAACTACGATAAATGATACGATTTGCTTATTTTACCAATTCAGAAAAAATTCTTGTTCTTTATTTGTATTGTCCATACTTTATTTAACGCCAATAAACAATAACAATTAAACAATAACTATTAACAGTCAGTGTTGGCGAGCCCAGTAGGTAAATTATCGATTTAAAACTTTCCCAATCACCTTTTTTACAGTTTAAGTGTGAAAACCACAGATTGGAAGTTTACTGTTATACCTCCTAATGCAATCGAGATAAATTTTACATATTTCGCTGCCATGGTCATATTTGTTTTTGTGTTGCTTAATTTAGTTTAGTTTAGATTTGACCTAAGCTACCACAAAAACGTCTAACTTTCTGTTTCTATAGCCAGTTTAAAAAGACTTTCGATTGATCAAGATCAAGATTGGTCGTCCATATCCTAAAGTTGACATCGAAAATCCAAAATCTATTTAAATAAATGTGTTTATTTGTGCTCAAGGCAGAAACCCTTCAGAAATTTTTTCAGAGTTCTTCTGCGGCTCGTTATTTGACGGTAAGCAGCGTTGACTAATGATGGAGCCTTGACAGCCGTAAACAAAGACGCGCTAGAAGCCTCTGGGGTACACACTGCGGTTTCTGGGGCAGTTGGCACCCTTTCGAGTCCTTTATTAATTTAGGTCGCTTACTTGGAAGGACACGAACACAAGAAGGGCAGGTTTTTGCCGAGGAAGTTTCAGCGCTGAAGGATGCTTTCCAAGCATAGTTGCAACAATTTCTGGCATTAATTACCTGGCGATCGTTGTTGAGTAATGGGAAGTTTGCGAAAACCGCTTTTCCTTACATTGTAAATACAAGTTCAACTTGAGTTAAATGTTTTGAAAACTTCCGAGTTTCCTGACTGGCTCCCAATTGTTTTGGGTACTTCGAAGTGACAAGTACTTTTTGGTATGATGGGCAAAGATTTGAAAATTCAACGATCATGGCTGGAATCACCATAAAAGCAATTGGCTGTCTCCCACATACAACCAAAGCTCTGGCTTAATTCCGCATCCTCCCTTCCTGATTCCCGGGTCCTGTCAACGTTTGTCGTCCATCGGTAATTGTCATGTATTTTCCAGCTCAGTAACTGCAATCAAGCGCCCTCAAATCGGAATTGTTTATTTTAAGCTTGGCTGTGAGTGAGGTTCGGTTTTTGCCTTCGATTTTGCTCTCATTGCAGATTTTTGGGGCTCGTATAGAAGGTGGAGCAGAAATAGAAAATATTTCGATGCAGAAATATTCGCATTTACAGCAAAACCAGTAAACATTAATTAATTTTAGGTACCTAGGTAGATTTCAATCTTACAATACAATTCATTTGTTAAGAATATGTTAGTCGACCATTTAATATTTCATTTGTTGTGGTTATTTAAGTGCAGAAATCGAATGAAGAAAAGAATGTTGCAAGACTGGAAAAAGCCTTATGTTTTCTACTTATCATCAGATTTAGAGAATTTTGCCGCCTGGGTCTCGAACAATTAGAACATGAATTAAAAGCATTAAAAATAAGTAAAAATATGGTTGTGTGTATGCCTCAACACATTCGATTCGTCATCCCTAGAAAGTTACATAAATTTAGTGTGTTTCCCAAAAACCGACCTCAGGACGAGCCGCATTCATCATCCCAGTGTAATGGCTCAGCTGCCCAGACGACGTCGACGACGATGAAAAGCAGTCGGCGAAGTTGAGGGCGTTTCCGAGCCACGTAATGTGAAACTGCGGGCCAAACTGTGCGTTACTTAACGGTCAGGAGCTGGGCTCCCCGGGCGTAAAAAATGGGCAGCAAGTGCGCCCATTTCTCTTGGCCTCCGTGTTCGAGGGCTTGGGGTCACTGTTAGCTTGCATAGCAAATGCCCGATGGAAAAACGAACTCACGCAGAGTTGGAAATTCTAACGAGCTCGCCGGATGTGCACGGAAGATGCGGATGGCACAAAAAATGACAGGCCAAAGTGACGGCTAGAAGCGAGCTCGCAGGGAGGGATGATCAGAATTTCGAGGACCCTGAAATTTTATTCGGCATTCAATATTCGAACGGGAGGAGCCAGCACAGGCGCTAATGATGGGCAAATAGTCTCGTTAAAGATGTGGTGCGATGACTATGCAAATGAGCTGTGACATAAATAACGATGCCATCTGAGATATGCAAGCTGCAGGGGACTTTGAGTTTCGTTTAATGACTTGAAGTTACGCATCGAATCGATTCCACTCGCTACTTTATGGCGAATGCAAGCGACTTGACGGCAGTCACCAAATGTTGGAGCAAGTCGAGTTCCGCTTCAGTGCACGAAGTGACCGGGCCAAAGGACGCCCCGATTCCCAACTGCCGGCTTTCCCGCATAGTTTATGGCTTGTAAGCTCCTTAGCCTAATGGCTTCGGCGGGGCACAGTGTTTATGTCGAGGGTCTCACGTCGGCGACCCCACATTTTATGCGTCATTAAGTGCAGCCCATCGTGGTTGAAGTGGTTAAAGCCTGGCTGCTTTAACTCCAAGCCCGTTGAGCCCTCTCCTCCGGACTCGAATCAATCTCAATATCGCGAGCCGACGAGCGAAGCCAAGCCAAACAAGTGCGGCGAATTTGATTTGCAATCCAATCTAGGTAACATCGCTTGCCAATTTCCCTGCCACTGCCTTCGGACCGGCTCCTTCCCACGTGCACGGAAGTTGCTTAATGGAACCCTTAAAAATATGCAGGCTGTCACTTTTGGCCCCGAAACAGAAATCCTATTAAAACCGGAGGTTGCAAGCGATACAAGGGATGGCGGAGTTCATGGCAGCAAAGAAAGTTGGGAGAAGTCTGCGCTTCACCCTAAAGCCAACTAGGTTGCACAGCGAGCTTAAAAATGCCTTTCTATTGCTGGTTCCGCCTTAATAATCACACTGGGCAGGCAGAGATTTCTGGACAGGTTTGTTTCTCTCGGTGCAAAAGAGTTTGCTGCAACAAAGGCTTGAATTCGATCCGATTTAATCATTTGCATATCTTTCAGTGGAAGGTCCAACTAATGTGAATGCGAATGGGGTAGGTATGTAGGTAATATAAAGAATAAATCTTGAAGGACTCAAATATTCGCTACACGCCTTCTTTTCCTCGGACGTATTTGTGTGTGCGCTGAAAGAAATAGCAAAACAAGCAAACTTCCGCAGAAGCTCCTCCTAAGCAGGCGAATGGGGGGCCGGGCCATTATAATAGTTTACAACGCCTGCAGCAGGATGCCAGCTTAGGGAGCATTCTCCACTTTGACATTTGAGAGCCGCAACGAGATAAAAAAGGCAGACGAGTTGGAGAGCATGGAGGTCTCATCTGCTCCCCGAGTCGCATTCTCGAAATGCACAGACGACAAGGCCAGGCGTCGCGAGCAAGCGACCCACCCACAGGAACCACCCAACTCAACCCGTTTAAATAATGCAATCAAGAACGCTACAAAAAAGAGCTTTCCAAGGTATATAGACCAACTGGCATCGAAACATTGTTTCTCGCGTGTTGCGAACGCTGGAAGTTAACTTGAATCTGAAATGTATCTTATTCCCAGCTCTGCCAATATGTGTTAATCTGATAAATATAATTACATTTCTGACCGCCTTGCGTTCCAGAATGGGAAAGTGCATTCGGCGTAAAATGTGTTACGCGACCACTTAAAAAGTTGATAACTATGCTTGGAAACTGATGCCTTGGCAAGTCAGACACCCCCATCCTCAAACCCCTCAAAGGTTCTCCGTGCTTTTGTTAGAATGCGCCTCTTGGGAAGGGAAATATGCAAATTGTCATTTCAGTTTCGGAGAGAGAGAAACAAAGCCAAGATGGGAGGAAAAACGGAGATGCGAGCGCGGAAATTGTTACAATCTTGCATGGCTTGGCTGCGTGGTGTCGTCAGTCGCCAGCTTCATTGGTTGCTCGGTTCCAAACAGCACGAGATGCCATGGCAGTTGTTGCTCCCAAACTTATTCCCCCCAGAGATAGAGCATTATAGTTCAGAATGTGTGACACTTCTCGGTGACGGCTGCTGTCACATCTGCGCCGCAGGAATGCTGGCACTCCTTGTCGTCTCGTGTGATGACCAGCTTTTAGCTGTCAAAGGCTGCCCATCCCCTTTGGCCATATTCAAGCGAAGACAATTTTCCCGATCTTTCGGAACGTTAAGTTCACAAGCAGTCAACCTTAATAGAAAATCCAAAATTTCACCTTCTCATATTGTCTAGGCAAGTGTTTGTTTGGAAAAAGTTATAGTTTCTAAATACGCTTTATCGAACACCAACTTGGTTGCATCCACACAATATAATCGTTTTAGCAACATAGAAAACAAAAAAGGTAAATTAAGCATTAATCGTAAAAATGTTTACACAAAAAATATGCTTAGGTGGATAAAAAAGTTGTTCCATTACTTTTTTTATAATTGTTTTTTGTTTATTTTAAGTGCGTGTGTGTAAAACAAATAAGGAAAATTACCACCACTACTATAAATAAATTTTATGTTTCGTTTTGCTTTTCAGCAGCTTGCAAGTGCAATTTAAGCGTGCCAGACGTTTATAATTTACATATAATTGACTGGCAATGTATGCTGGGTGATCTGCGGCTTTTGTCCTGAGTCCATTTGTACATCCAATTATCATGTATACGGCAAAAAAATTCCACTTATGCGGGTTGAACAAAATGAAAATGGAAGCCCACTTGAAGGCCACTTTTCTCGTAAAATTTTACGGTCTAGCCGCCATTTCCGATTTAATTAATCTTTGCGTTTTTTACTCCCCAATTTTTTTTGTTGCTAATTTGCGTTTAAAACTAGAAAAATAGTCAGTCGAGTGGCCCGACAAAAACCCAGGGGACCCACATGGACATTGAAAAAAATGGGGAAATCAGGACAGTTCTCACACCTCTGGGAATAATTATTTTGAGGCGTTAATACTTAAAAACATTCGCAATTTTGAACTCATTACGATGACTTTAAAAGCGAACCGATACAAATTTTTTCGGTAAAATAGGAGCTTTTGTATCTTCACGACTGCATTAAAATTTAAACTTTATATAACAGAGAGGCAGTTGGATGTTGCCATACAATGCAAAAAGGAAAATACTATTTTAAGGGTATTACAAAAATAGTATTGCAAAAAAAAAAAAGTATTACAATAAATTAAAACTTAATAAGGTTTTATTATTTGTTCTTGTATTTAATTTAAAGCCCCAAAGTGTCTTAACTTGATAAAATAAAATTTGATCACAAAAGTCAACTTCGGCGTTATTCAGCTAAGCTCTTTATCAATACAAAGTTTTTTTTAAATAGAAAGCAACACTTGTTTATGCAGAAAAATAGTCGTTTAAAACAAATATATAAACAATATTATTGTTTTCATCGATTCGCCTTATCGGCGATGCTTATCTAATAGAGTTCCTAAGGTTAAACTGTGTAAGACATAACAACAAAACCAATAATAAATCGCAAATATAAACTAATATAGAAATAAACTGATGTTTTCACCCCAAGGCGGCTTGCATTACCCGGCTCCTAATTTGTTTAGTTTATTCAAGCTAATTCTGACAAACGTTTGCACTTTCTTCCTTGCAATCAATTGTGCTCATTTTACAGGCTAGCCACTCCGGTGGCCCATTTAATTTAATTTTTCAATTAGCAAAATCAACAGCGGAAAAGGTTAAAACAATGCTTTCCTTTGGCACTCGTTTTAATTGTATTTGCAGCGTTAGAATGAGAGTGATTATGTTTACCCAATGCAGAATAACACCAGAAAAATGAGGTACGAAAGTGGTTTCGACAAAGGATCGCACATAAAACACAAACTAATTCCTATCAATGAATATGCTATATACCGCTCAGATAATTTCCGTTGTTAACTGGACTAGTCAAACCAAATCTCTTATTAAATAATAATTATGCCCGTATTCACCGAACTCAGCTCCACATTATTTACTTTTAATTGATTTAAGCGCCGCGAGCGGACATATTTAATGCACGCAACGTGCCCAATGGTCAATAAATAATCCGTGTCAAAAAATACAAATTAACTGTAACATACATAATTGTGATATTCCGCGTTTGCAAATTTATGGACATTTTGTAAGCCACCATTTCGCACAATGAGTTGTGGAGCGAGACATTCAGTTTAAATAAATAGTGCCTTACATACTTTTAGGCGCCTGCTTTTACTAGGAAATGTACAATTTCAATTGTTTCAACTGTTAGCGGAAAGCATTAGCAAATTGAAAAAATAATCATTTTGAATACCTTATTACTCATTGGATAGCAGACTTAATTCATGTAAAAACTTACTTTAAAACTTAATTTGACTAACACCTATAGAGGGAGGACCCCAATGCACCCAGTGCACAAGAAAAGAGTGGGGTTCTAGGAGAGGAACGCCTCCGTAAGCTGTAATTTCTAGCCACTTACATCATCTGGAACAAGTATGCGGCTCTATAAAGTTCGTTCCCATGTCTCAGCCAGGCCATTCATCCAAAGCAACGAAAGCCGTTAAGTGCCCTCCTAGCCCTCTACCCGCTCCAAGGAGTCCTCACGTTCTCCGGCAGGGCGGAAAAGCCGCAAAAAGTAGTGTACCAGAAAAGGGAGTAAGTCGGGATGTGCAGGACTGGGAAGGGAAAACCATCGACTTGGGAAAGTGTTGATTTAAAGCCAAGCACCAAAAAGGGCGTAGTTAAACAAAAGCTTCGCCGGGCTGAACCGAAATCAATATTGATGTTCGTTCGATTGTGATATTAAGGGGGACGGTACTGGGGACTCCAAACTCGAAGGTCTGAATTCAGGCAGAAAGATATCAGATAACCAAGCAAGTTTAACTTTGTTCAACTTTGAGGTAAATCTTGCTATTAAATATTTTTAATAACTTTATGATTGGTAAATCGTTATTCGCAATACTTTTTCCTAATGTTCGATGAGCAATAAGGTAAAATACGAGTTTTATACCCTCTTAAATGGTATATTTTTTTGATTGGGATATTGTGATCCTCGAGATCCCAGGGTGCATACCCAGGATGGTAAGTGGTACATTCCACAATTGGGGCGCAAAGTGAGCGCGCAAACCAATCGATCAACTGGAAGCGTGCGCATGACGTTTGAAATCGTTAAGTTAATGGTTAAAAAATAATATAAAACAATCGTTTAAAATCCGAAAGTGAAATGAATCTTAAAGTTGAAGGTTTGTAGTTTGTGTTTTTATAATTTTTTATTAATTTTGCATGCTATATGTGACTATAACAAAAATTGTTTATCCACCGCAATTTTTCAAGTTCTGCAGAACTTAACATCAATATTCTACAAAGGTAAAAGTTGTGTTGCCCAATCCGGTCACTAATGAAATTTTTTTTTAAATATTGATCAATATTTAATTAGTGTTATCTGTGAAAATCCGCTGCGAATATTTGCGAATCCGTTCACGAGTGCCTCGTTCGTGTTTCATCAGTTTTTGATTTTCTAGAGTAACCATTTCTAATTGGTATTAACAAATTTATTTTTTATTACTTTTATATTACTTTAAGTTTATGTTAATCATCGTTTTCTGTTATCTTTTGTTAATTTTTTAACCAAAATTAAGTGTTTAATAAATATGTATATTTTTTGTCAGTAACGCTTTAAAAAAAAGTGTAGTGTGCATTTGGGAGTCAACTTTTGAAGATTTTATAGTAACCACGATGGTAGGGGATACTTAATGGTGCTGATACTTAAGATATAATATTCATACGCTATTATATACCTGCAAAAAAAATTCAAGTCGATATTCCTACTGGAAGTATTTTTGGCCGCCTTCTCCATACAAGACCGACCACGGTGCACTGTGGCATTCGTACGGCATAAAATACACTAAAATTTGACAAAAATTAATATTTCATTCTAAAATACCAAAGAAAATGTATTTGTTTAGCCTCATACCACAACTACTGGTCCTATGGGATGGACACATCATTCTAAGGAATGTCGGTAACCGAATCTTGTTTTTGCACACCACTTTTTGTTAATTTCATAAAAAGGATTAATTAAGGGTGAAGTCGAGAACAGAACCAGTCTCAGAGAGATTTTAGCATAAGTAATCAAACACAAAATATCATATGTGATAGCGCTACGGTTTTTCTCTCCGACAACCCGCTTACCCACCCTTTTTGAGGAACGCATCAGTGTTATCAAAGCACGTGTGGGTAGTTAACAACATTGAAATCTCTAATTATGCACAGACACGACTGAAAACAGAATGGTGTCCACTGAAAGAGATGAATTTTACGAAAGAAAAACCCCACAACAAAGTAACACTGTCAAATCACGTCAATAATTGAAAATTGGCCAAAGTATATTTTGTTATGTTACCTGGCCGGCAAAGTCCTCATTTGCATCCTCGTCATCCCTTTCGCTTTGCTCTACATCCTTTGCGACTCCTCGCTGTCCCTTGACGTTGCTGATGCTCCTCTGAGGTTGGAGCTTACTGCCGACGTCCTTGGACTTCGGAGTGCGATTGCGTAGTCCGCTTGAAGTGGCTGGGCTTTCAACATGGATCAGCGGACGCAACTGGACCGTCGGGCCGGGAACTCCTGGAGAGACGCGACGCTTTGTCGTCAAAGGCCT